TTTTTTTTTTTTTTTTTTTTTTTTTTTTTTTTTTTTTTTTTTTTTTTTTTTTGCGTCATTTAATCTTTCTATCCAAGATATACTTAACGAGCGATGGAATGAAAAAATGAGAAAATCATTACAAAAGACAATTCTTTTTTCAGATTCGTCGAATGTATCATCAAAAGTATAGATACTTACTCAGGTATATAGATTAAAACTACTTAATTTATAAACACAAAATTTTTTTTTATTATTGCTAATCAACCGGTACGTTTTGCAAAAAAAATGGTGCAATCGCGTATAGATGCGGAATGCGCAATACAAAAAAAAAGACCTCACCAGCAAGTGTAAATGCGATTAGCTTTTGTCTCTTTGCAAATCATATAAGTTATCTCTTGACAGCCATAAATTTTACACTTAAATAATATTCAATTATTTTATTTTTTTTTTACCGCCCATAATTGCGCTGTACCTACAAACTTCCCCTCGAATTATTTGCCGAAGTCCATACCGTTGAATTACAAAATGAAGAAATACAAATAAAACAGTTCGTTGAACAACACAACAACAGAAATGTGAGTGAATTGGGCATGTATATTTTAAGTATACTTCCCCCCTGAAGGCAAATCATATATACTTTTGTACCAGTAAACCGTTTAAATTGAAATTATTATACTATGGCTCAGAATAAAAATAATTTTGAATTTAAATGACATTAGTATTACATTTAAATATTGAAGACCTGATAGTTCAAAATTGATAAATATACGGATATTGCGCAATATATTAGCGGTACGTACGTTTAGCACGTATCTTTGAAAATTTGACGATTGTGCGTAATCGAGAAAAGTTGTTAACCTCAGTATGATGTACGTACATTTTTTTTAAACACTTCCGATACGGATGTAAGTCAAAAAATCAAAACTATTGAAATTGTTGTTTGCCCAATACAGTAATAAATTTTACACGACAGTATATGTTTGTATAGGTATAATAATAGAGCTGGTGAATTAGTTCATAACAAATGGATTTGGTAATTTATCAAACGCTTATTAGTATACTTCTACATTTCATTTAACAAACGCTTAAAAATGTTAATAATATCGAGTAACACGGTAGCTAGGATTCAGTGATACATGTTAAACATATCTAGGCCTATTCATAATTTAATATATTTTTAAATTTATACAATATCATGCAATTGGGTAAACATATCATACTAGATAATCAATAATTATTATAGTCGTAAAGTCATGTGTACACAATACTACAAGAAATCGTTGTCGTTATCACGGAAAAAAGCAGTGTTATCAGTGTTATCACGAACATTATTGAATATAGTAGATAAGTACACATTTATTTATTTCCAAACACGGCTTTTAAAACTTGTTTTTGTTTAAATCACACCTTAATAAAGATCGAGATTCAAACCCACGGCCGTTGATGGATTACAAACAAGTTCTTGCATTTTTATACCATCAGACTGACAGGAAATCAGTATATGCAAGTAATATTCGAGCATTTAAAGGAATGTTGTGTTTTTATATAATGTAAACATAGAGGAAAAAAGGATTGACTCTCCAATAAGATAAGGGATAATTCAATACAGGAAAAACCTGTATAATATAATATCAGGAGTGTTGGAATAGAAAAACAAAAAAATTATTACAAAAGACATATTTGTTAATGTATTTTGTAAATAAAGTTGCTAGTACATTTACTTAACTATTTTAGAATAATACACACAGCCAATCAACTACAGGTCATTTAATACAGATGAATCAGAGTACACATATTCTTGAAAGAAAGGGCAAGACTGAAGAAATACTCAGGGTCTTGTCTCTGTGTAGAATAAAAGAAGTGTCTCCGTTTGTAATTAGAGCATTGCACATGTCTTTTGCTTAATAGTACAGAATAATAATTACATAAATACAAAATTAACAAATAAAGTTGAAGACATATGAAATGGTGATCTCTTAGAGTTACATTTTTTTTTATTGTACATTTAAGTCTAATGGTACTATACTCTTTGAAAAAAAAAAGAATATATTATATATTATATTGTATACGTATAAACTTTTTTTATAATGTTAAGTAAATTTGAGATGCCTTTTTCGTAAATTATCGACATTACTATTTAAGACGAAATATTTATAGATTGCCTCGCATCTTCACCCAAGAAAACTTATATGTAATGAGAGAATTTTAACCTACATGCTAAATTTTGATCACTAACCAAAGACTTCTTGGCTCGCGAATACCATGTACAAAAATCCATCCTCGTCTTTTTCACGCTGGTAGAGCTGAGCCATTGTTGTGCTTCCGCTGATTAAGCTCCTCTGATTTACCAGAAGAAAAAAAGCCTGTGTCGGAGAAAGTTGTAGCCGCCTCCTACGAAAGATTGATAAATTTACTTAAGGTTGTCTACACAAATTAATACTTGTATCGTAATTGAATTTATAAAAACCATTACCTAATTATTTTAATGAGTTCTGCAACTGACAAATGATCAGGTACCAAATACTTAGTTTTGTCAAGCAATGGCAGTTGCTTTTCCACAGAATATCGTTCAACAATGATGGGTACTTTGTTGGGATGCTTTTCTCTGATCTGTTGAACATCAGCGACTCGTTGATCTGTAAGGGCACATGTCGGTGACATAATGCGAGTAAGTGAATAAACAATGAAAAAAAACCATAAACCAGATGCGATTGTCATGCAGCATCGTTCGTCAACTCAAAAAACTTACCAAAAGAGCGTCTTTCCTTGAAAGGCCTTTCTTTGACTATATTCATTTTGTTCAGTGTTCTCGTTTTTTTAAAATCAAAGCTACTCTCCTGATTTAAATACACGTCCCCTTGTCGTTGTTCCAAAAAGACCAGCGTCTCCTGTCAGATCGCCATACAATGCACTTTCCCAAGCCAACGGCAGAGCGAAACGCCACCATTAGCAAGTCCAATATACTTATGATGTTTTGTCAGCTGAGTTGAAAAACAAAATACTGTTATGCGTATACACAAGTAGGTAAGTACACAACAATTAACGAATCACGACTGAATGTTATTCGTATACACGATAATTACTTGCGAGAGTTACGAGTTCACAACCTGCAATACTTAAGTGATTGTGACGTTAGTTTCCGTGCTGGCAAGTGGTGACTCCGCACTTGGTGACTCAGCTGGCAACTCTGAACTCCGAAATCTCCGAATCTGAGAGACAAAACAAGAAGCCAGGCTATACGACCAAAACACAAAGCAAAACAAATGCGCCGAAGCGAAAAGTGCACTGCACGCGCACAGAGAACGACGCACATCATCATTTCACAAGCCAGATGTGCTGCGCACACACATTTTGTAGTTATAGCTAGCTCGTGGAGATTTTGCTATGTCCGTGTCCACCATGCACATGCAGTCCACTTCCTCGTGGATGGCTCTTTGAGTTCTTTCTTTTTCCTCTTCTTTTGTCTCGATCCCCCCTCTACCGCAAAAGCTGAACTCTTTTCTAAATCTCGAGTCGTGGGTTTTTTATTTTTCAAGCAGTGCGCATGTTTGATGGAATAATACTGCAACGTCTGCAACACTCATTTGCATTTTTTTTAATGGCATTTAAGTACGCTTCAAAAAATGTATGATCCGGCCGTTATAATATTTTTAATATTCGATATTTTGCTTCATCTACGTTGTTTTTATAATTATTTGTATGTAATACAGTATTAGTCGTTAAAAACATTAATTATTTTAATTAATTTAAGATGCATTATACAAAAAAGCTTGAACCACAACTGTTACAAGATACGGTTATAATTGATTTAAAATAAAACTAATTGTTAATCGTGTTTATGGTGTTGACAATTTTTAAGTTTTGAGCGCGTACGGCACAGGCCATTTGTTAGTGATTTGTGCTGCCACCTATGTCATTTATGTGTGTGAGTGTGTGTGTGTGCTCTCTCTCTCTTTATTTCTGCCCCTCGCACTCCCCACCCCCGAATCTCGCAAGTCTCTGAGCCAGAGAGAGTCTGAGCCGCCAGTTCGACACTCCACCAAACGAGTAAAAGAAATGAAGGATTCAGTCAGCAGCGTTGCATAAAGACAGAGAGGAAGGAGAGGCAACGAAAAGATGTGAGACAAGTGCATAATAATAATAATAATAATAATGATAATAATAATAATATAATAAGTGAAGCATGTATTGAGTGAAAACAATAATAAATTGTGAGGACAGTGTGCAGAGTCTTAAGTGTCATAACTGTTTGAAGGAAGAACCGGGGAAGGTGTTGGGTGCAGATAGGTATTGTTTAAGGGCAAGGGCTGCCGTTCGCGCGATGTGCGCTCCGGCAGCAGCAGCGAGGAAGAAGGGTCTCCTCGGTCGGTCGCGTCGACGACAGCGTCGTTCCCCATTATTCCCGTCCAAGTTTAATGCCGCGGCTGTTGCCACTGTTACGACCACCACCACTTCATGTAATCGGCATTGATTAGGTACGGGATGATTATTGCTGCGGTGAATAATTTTCTTATCGTAATCTGCAGTCCCGGAGTCTCTGCTAAGCTGGACAAGGCAAAAGAGGCACAGGTGAGAGAACGAGAGCATCGTCCTGCGCTTCATGGAGTGTTGAGTGTTGTTGTATAGCTGTAGGAGGTAGGTATATCCATACCTACTAAAATGTACTAGTGTGCTCCCTGTATCTGTGCGCGAGTGATGTGAATTGTGAAAGTATATTTTATACGTACAAGGTATACACATTATTAACACATAGATACAATATGCGTTTGAGTAACCAAGAAGTATGGTGTCACTAATTACGAAGTTTGTGTACCTACCTACGCCAAACACCAAAGTACTCATAAGTTACTTGTGCAAGCAATAAAATGTGCACCACGTACATGATGCTCTCGGCTTTTTATTCTGGAGTTGCGATACCTATCATATTTTTCCTTTTGCCTCGCCAGTTGAAATACATTTAATTAAAAAGTTCGTGGTGTTTTGCAGTGACGTGATTTATATGCATCTACCTTATTTTGTGTCCTGAGGAATAAATAATATACATCAGGGCCGGCAGTAACAGGCAACAGTGGTGTCTACCATACATATAGATAAATAAAAAAAGAAAAGGACGATAGGTACGAGGATAGGAGGCGCGCATATAAGTACACGCGAGAAAGACAAGAGAAGAAAAATCGAGGAAGGACCGCAGCGTATACCTTAACATTGCCGCTCTGTAGCGAATTAACAATAAACAACAAAAACAACAGCATAATAATAATAATAATAATAATAATCCAAAGAGAGAAGGTTGCTCCGGAAAAGCAACGCGACAATAGTGGCAAAACCAAGCATCTGACTGAAAAAGAAGGGAATATTGCGTGACCAACGACGCCGTCCGATGTTATTCTTCTCGTGGTCGCTGTCTCCGTCACCGTCGTCGCAGAGTCCAACTAAGCGCGTGGAGATACACTGCGAGTGCGAGAGACTATAGACAACCAGAGAAAGGAAGAAAGAAGATGTACACACTGATAAGCAACTAAGAGGAAGAGTTATCGAACTCTTGCCGGCTTCGCCGATGCCGTCTGCTAATACTACACGACTGGCCCGTGCATCTTAATATGCAACCGAGACCGCACAGTAGAAAATATCTAGGTAATAATAATCTTATTTTCACATAAAATTACGTTGGTTAATTTATTTGAGCACTATATAATTATATTTTATTGAAATTATCATGTAGATGTATTAACTATCATGAAATAGAGATATTAATAAGTTATTCACGTGATCTTGTATTACCAAAGTACTTGACATAAGAATCATTAAATTATTACCGTATTTTATCAAAATCTCGGTAATCATGTTTAGAGATGTTATTTGTAACAGAACTCTGACTTTGAAGCTTATATATCTCAACCTGCGGCTCAAATCGTACTTTCAAATCAGATACTATCAAACAGAGTTTCAAGGAAACTTGGTCGTTCATCAGTTGAGCAATGAAACAATATTGATGAACGACTAAGAAAATTTATACTTTACTCAGAATTTCAACGTATTCATTACAATTGAATAAAGTCATAATAATACCTAAAAATTTTCACCACCCAAAGAGAGAATACCTTCCAACACCGCGTAACTGAACTGTATTTATAAATTTATGTAGAGATTTCTTACTGTGCGACGACACGGAGGATAGGAGTCAAGGAACCAGGACCAGCAGCAGCAGTATCAGACCGAACAGCAGAGAATGCCCCTGTCAAGGCCGCCCCCACTCTTGTCGGGCATCGCCTCGTTGGAGCACAACCTTCTCGCCCACCCGTACGTCAGCTCTGGCAGCGAGTCCAATCACTTGCCGCCCCTCAAGGCTAGCGGTGTGCACAATAATGAGGCTTCACCGGGTCGGGCAGTGCTGCACGAGTTTCAGGACGTGGCTTCGGTCATCAATGGCACGACAGGAATCAGCTCGACAACGACGACGACAGTTGTACTGGCTGGTAGCCGGCTGCCCAGCCTCAGCTCCAGTGCCAACAACAGCCTGCAGAACCTACAGAACCTTGCCACGGGCAGCAGCGCACACGCCAGTCTGCAGCACTCGCGCTCCAACTCTCAGTCGAGTTCGCCCCTCGTTTCGAGCAAGTCAACAGCCGATCATCACCACCATCACCATCACCACCATCACCAGCAGCAGCAACAACAACAGCCCTCAACGGGCCCGAAGCCCAAGACGATGCTCGTGACGCCTGACATCGTGATGAAGCTCTACATGAACAAGCTTACCCCCTACGAGCACCATGAGATTTTTAATTACCCGCAGATCTATTTTATCGGTGCGAACGCGAAAAAACGGCCTGGCATTATTGGGACGGCCAACAACAACGAGTACGACAACGACAAGGGCTCGTACATCCACATCACCCACGACCACGTGGCCTACAGGTACGAGGTGCTCAAGGTCATCGGCAAAGGTAGCTTTGGCCAGGTCGTCAAAGCTTATGACCACAAGAAGCACGAGCACGTGGCCCTGAAGATGGTACGCAACGAGGAGCGTTTCCATCGCCAAGCCCAGGAGGAGGTGCGCATTTTGAAGGCCCTACGCGAACAGGACAAGGACAACACGATGAACGTCATCCACATGTTCGACTCGTTCACCTTTCGCAACCACATGTGCATAACTTTCGAACTGCTCAGCATAAACCTGTACGAGCTCATCAAGAAGAACAAGTTCCAGGGCTTTAGTCTCCAGCTCGTGAGGAAGTTTTCGTTTTCCCTGCTCCAGTGTCTCGACGCTCTCAACAAGAACAAAATCATACACTGCGACATGAAGCCAGAAAACGTGCTGCTCAAACAGCAGGGGCGCAGCGGCATCAAGGTACGTTTAACACTCTTTTGGACACTTTTTCTCTAAGTATCGATGACACAAAGTTTCTATTCAGCTAACGAATCGCGTCCAACGCCACACTGAAACAGAGACGATATTCCGGTAATCTCTTTTGCCTTCGCTATCGTCGCTTTCCGTTCTTTCCTGCACAATACAACGTTTTTGTACGAAACGCAAGCACGAGGTAGCCGTTATTTTCCGACACGTCGCCTTTTTTTATCACGCTTTTTTTCTGACATTAGATCTCATTTCCTTTTACGACTCGTGCGATCATGATTTATCTCGGACGCTATACGAAAAAAAAAATCACGACCGATAAAACGACCTACAAGAACAGACACGACCACGACGATCGGTTTCAATTTCTACCAATATGTTGTACTACATAGATACGTACGTGTACGTATATACGAGTTCTTGCGCAAGCACGTCGGCTTACATTATTCATAAACGATAAGTAAGTACACCCTTTGCCTCTTTGTGATAAATTGAATATAAATTAAGCTCCTACAAATCGGAAACAGACAATATCGACCATTTCACTTGAAATACAAAGGATTCTTTTCTCTGCGTAAAATCAATGTACACTATGGTCATTTTGTGGCAACAGCACTTACGCGGCTGATAACAAAAAAAAACTGGTTGTACCAGGAACCAGAGATAAACAATTATGAAATAATCAACTAGATAAACCCATGCGGAACAACAAAACGAAAGATGAACTCACGCGCTTATCACCGATTTGTAGATTGAAATAAAGCGGCACGCGCTAAAACTATGCCATTGTTTATTACACAGAAAGAGAAACCCTATCCCATCCGTCACTAAACAGGTATAACAGGTGCAGCTTGTGTTTACGTTGTATATGCCCCCGTTCCCCCTGGAATCGGCCCATTTTCGCTTTCATTCTTCATCCGCCCGTACTTTGTTTGTTTTTTTTTTTTTTTGCACCTTTGGTGTTCGTATATAGTCTCCGGGTTATTGTTTTACGCACACTCGCAGAGTGATTTTGTACATAGGTATATGATTAGGTGTACGAGGGGGAAGAGAGAAACGAAGTAAGTAGACAAACGCCTCCGGGAAAGCCTAGCCTCGTGACGAATCGATGACTCGCCGCTTTTTTTTTTTTTTTTTTTTCGCTTGCTCTCGCGACTCTCTATTCTGATATTCTCTTCCGGCTCGATATGGGCTTCTGCACTCTCCTTTGCTCTCTCGGATGTATACTCCGGCGAGTAAATATTTTATGGACACGCGCTACCTTTTGGCGTGTGCTTCCATTCGCAAGGATCGAATCGTTCACCTGCAGGTACGAAAAGAACCAGTCTGTATTGTTTTATGGACTCGTTTAATCGAACGATTTTACTTTTTATGCGTTTACCCTGAAATCGGGAGAACAGGAGAGAGAGAGAGTGTTTAGAGTGTTTAGAGTGTTTATTATGCCTTGGGGAAGACCCCCATCTGGCCAGAAAAGTATAATACAGTAAGATAAGCAGACTTAAAACTAATTTCAATAAGCTAAAATTGTAGCGTGCAGAGAGAGAGAGAGAGAGAGAGAGAGTTTATAAACGTGATGCCTGTACCAATATAGAGGGGAAAAACTAGAACGACGAGTGATTCGGGGCGATCGTTTTATTATCGCGAGCGACTTTTCTATTATACATATACCTATATCTTGTGACGGCGGTCGTTTACCTCCTTGTTTTTTTTTTGGCCGCGAAAACGATCTTTGTTATATTTTTAATCATCATCGTCTCTCTCTCTCTCTCTCCCTTTTTTTGTTTAGAAATACGATTATTAATAGATTGAAAAGCCTTTTCCCTCGGCCCTTACACACATACATGAGCGAGGAAACATGTATATATGCGTAAATCTAGGCGCGTGCGGTGTCGCTGGGAGAGTAATCTAATTTACGAAAATCGATTGCGTTGATGAAGTTAAGTAGAAAAAGACTTGGAGTCGACGCTTTTACGATGGAACTTTAATAATACGACTCGACATCGTCGGGCTGTTGAAATACATGTTCATCTCTTTTCCGGGGAATTTTTTTTTTTTTTTTTGTTTTCCTCTTAATCACTTGATTTCCAGCCAACCAACTTATTATAAGTACGAGTTGGCGTGCGAGTCAAACCATTGTTTTTATGATAAAATGCATTAATGTTTGTCTCACGGGAAATATCGTGCTCCGTGAAAAGGAAAAATTTTCTATCTTTTACTAAAAATTCCTCAAAGTAGATATTATAGGTACAGCATTTTTACATACTAAACGTCCGGGATAAATAGATTATCGGAAAGCTAGTCAGTAATCATTGATCATTTATGTTGTTGTTTTTTCCACCAGGTGATCGACTTTGGTTCGAGCTGCTACGAAAACCAAAAGCTCTACTCGTACATCCAGTCGCGCTTCTACCGGGCACCTGAGGTGATCCTCGGAGCCAGCTACGGCATGCCGATCGACATGTGGTCCCTGGGCTGTATCCTCGCGGAGCTCCTGACCGGTTTCCCACTGCTGCCCGGCGAGGACGAGCCCGACCAACTTGCCTGCGTCATCGAGTTGCTGGGAATGCCACCCCAGCGGTTGCTCGACAAGTCCAAGCGCGTCCGCCAGTTTATCAGCACAAAGGGCTACCCGCGCTACAGCGGCGTGAGCTTCAACGGGGACGGTTCGATCGAGCTAAACGGCGGGCTCTCGCGGCGCGGTAAGTTTCGGGGCCCGCCGGGATCCAAGGATCTCAAACGCGCGCTCAAGGGCTGCGACGACCCGCTCTTCCTCGACTTTATCGAGAAGTGCCTCGAGTGGGACCCGGAGCGCCGATTGACGCCCGCGCGGGCGCTCAAGCACGCCTGGCTCAGGCGCAGACTGCCCCGGCCACCCGAGCCGCTTTCCCAGCAACAGCAGCGTCCTAGTCCCTCGCCGACTTCCAATAAGCTCCAGCAGCAGCCACCACCGCCGCCGCCGCAACAACCGAAGAATCTACCGAGCCTAACGCTGTCGTTGCATGCGAACCTGCAGACCCTGCAAACGACGGCCCAAGCCTCGCCGCCAGCCAACCCCGGCCAGCCTCCGATCCAGGTACGTTGACTGTTTTCCCAAGCTTCGCACTCTGGGTCGACGACTCGAGTTATTCGAACAAAAGCATACTTAGCGCGCTTATCTTGTATTTCCGTTTGCGCCAGGGCAGCGCTACGCTAGTTCCGCGTACGTGCGCGTCCGGCAGTAATCGCTCGGTGAGCAAGCCCGTCATCGCGACCGCCAGCGCTGGCTCCTCGTCCTCTTCTTCCTCGTCGAGCAATCTTTACAATCATCAGTACCAGCAGCAACCCAAAAAGAACCAGCAGCAACTGACCAACCGGCTGCTCGAGCTGATTGCCGATATCAAGGACCACGCTGCCTCTCTGTGCGTCGACGGCTTGGCCAACGTTGCTGTTGCTCAACAACAGCAGCCCCAGCAGCATCTTCTTCTTAACAATAACAACAATAACAGACGACAGCTGTGCGGGCAATTGGGTCGGCTCAATTTGAAGCGCGAACAGCCTGATCTTTCTCTGCCATCCGATTCGCAGACACGAGCCAAACCGCTTTGGGATGGTCACAGGTGAGACTCATATTTTGTGAGATAGCTTCTTTTTTGTTTCCCTTGGTCGTACAAATAATTATTCTTTTTTTTTTTTTTTTTTTTTTTTCCCCCATAGTTTTCAGGATGGCGTGGTGAAGGGAAATTTCAGTTCGTCCCAAAACCACAGTCTGCAGGAATGCGCGATGAGAGGAAGTAACGGGAGCCTTTCTAAAAACCACAGCCTCAAGGACGCGGTGATACGAGGGAGCAACGGTAGCCTCGCTCAGAATCACACTGTCAAGGATCCCGTGACGCGGGGGAGCAACGGCTGCCTTTTTCAAAATCACAGTTTACAAGACTGCGTGATCAAGCGGAGCAACGCATCGACGCACGATAGTCGCAGCTCGCACGGATCCTTCGGCAACGTCCACGACAGGCTGCTCGTCGATAAGGATGTTTGGCAAGATATTAGGCGCTACGCTGCGGAAATGTAGAGCTATTTGCCAGATTAGGTAATTAACGTTATCATTAACAGGTGATATGCATTTTTTTCTCTCTCTTTTGATTTTCATTGTTTTTTTTTTTTTTTTTTTTTTTTTACGCAACAATGCGAAGAAATGCAATTTAAATGATTTTGGAATGATTTTTGACGCCCCACTTTTGTTTGTCTATGGCTAATTTTTACGAGGCCGTATCGGCTTACTTATTTTTATTTGTGAATTAGTCTCTTTTGTGATATCTTGTTAGTAGGTAATCCAAATAAGACTTGATAACGCAAATAACTCAGGTACTTTTTTGAATTTTTTTTTCTCTGACGTTTGTACCAATTTGTTAATTTGAAATTCAGATTGAAGAATTTTTTAATACCTTAAACAGTAGTAATTTTATACGTAAAATTATTCGCAAAATACGTTCTTGTCTTACAATTTTGTACCCCTTGTCCAAAAGAATGCGCAACAAGAATTTTTACTTTCATTAAAGCTCACCGGGAAGGAAGACATTATTTCGTAAGTCATTCATAACTTTTAATTGATCAATGAAACGTTTGCATGATAATTTACATTGAAAAAATAGCTATAAATCATTGTCAAAAATTATTCCAATAAACTACAAAAAAATTTGAATCCCAGTAAGTTATTACCTGGCTTCGAGCCGATTTAACACTTATTCGTTCATTGTCATCTTGCTTCATATGTGTAATGTACTTTTATATATCAAGCACTGAATCGTACTGATTAATTTGTATAGAACAGTAAATACTGTTGAACTTTTGTTGACATTTATTTTTAATCATTTTTTTTACCCAAACGTTTTATCCTCTTTTTAATTTTTTACTTTACTATTGCAATGTACCGATTGTATGCAAGATTTAAGGCAACGAGCGACTCCGTTTTTGTGGTCGTTTGCAGCTGCGCAAATCTGTTTCCTTGCAAGTCACGTTTTTAAATTCGTGATAGATGAGAAACTAGATTTTTCATGTGATAACTGTGGAGCATTAGTTGTATGAAATAAAAAATATACATAATATAATCACTCTCGTGTGCGATGTCACGTCATCATCGTCTTGGGTATTGTTGTCTCTCTATTTCGCTATTAAGGCATTTACGCGCAATATGATCAATTTAATAAACAAACACACAGGCTAATCTACTGCCATTAGTTTTTATCATTGTATGACGAATGAAATGTCACCACTTGACGATTTATACTATATACACACCTAGTTCGTTCAACTTTGTAAATTGTGCATGTGATCGAGTCTATTAGGACTTTTGTTTGCTAAAGTGAATTTGAGTAAACAATACACAAACAAAATTTCATGTGTTTGCTGTTTTTATTTAGTGTAATTGATGAGAAAAAAATGAGACCGTAAATGACACGAAAATCACACGTATCTATCAGGCGTCAAGAGTTCCAATCGAAAGAGAGTAATCACATGTCATCACCCTTTACTGAGTGGAACTCGAGCTTTTTTTTTTTTTTTATGAAAAAGTTGAATTAAGTGCAAGTATATTTCGAAAGATAAACTATGCATCAAATAGTGTACAACGGTCCCTAGATGTACTACCATAAAGTTTCACGCACTTGCGCGAACTGCCGATAATTGTTGACATTGAATTATAAGGCTGTGATCAGACGTCTTGATGTCGCGATGAAATATAACGTCGCGACGGGTTAAATACTTCTTTGTACACGAAAAATCGAATTACACGAAAAAATTGAAAAAGTAAATGAAAATAATATAAATTGTAGATTAAATATTAAAAAATANTTCTAAAATTAAAATCCAAAAACAGTTAAGTTTATTTTCTTTTTTTAGTGCGGCTTACTTTTTGTATAGCACACAAAGTTTTATATTGTCTTTTACTCGTACATAAGCAAAATTAAACTAAGGCATGTGACTCTAATGCTTGTTGGTAAATTAGAGTTACATGCCTACAATATCGAGCTTAGGTGAAAGACAGCTTAAGAATTGAGAACGAGAACTTATCAAAACTTACGGTGCGAGTGAATGCACAGCTCCTCGGTAGCTCAAGTGGTAGAGCAAATGTCTAGTAAACAGGAGGTTGTGTGTTCGATCCGCACCCGGGGAGGATTTTTTTCTCGTTCTTAATTATTTCTTCAAAGGAAAATTTCTTGAAAAAGAAATTACGTAGATTTGTATTATCAAGTATTTTCTATATCTTATATATTGAGAAAGGGCATGTATGGATGGTAATAGAGAGTGCTTGTATGAAGAGTACCGCCATCTATGCATATGCGCCTATTAATACAATGATTAAAGTGTATCGACGTCCGCTTGTAGACCTATTGGACGTATTGAATTCTAAAATTAAACTAAGTAATGTTGACTTATGAGTGATACTTAATGCAAAGCTTACATCAAATACATTGATGGTTTGCTATTTCGTAAGTCGATTGACATATTAGGACATTATTTAAATTATTTAATGTAAGGTTTATACACAACACCAGTCAAGTCAATATTACTTAATTTGATTTTGTTAGCGTATGAGTAAAAGACAGTACAATACTTCCAGTGTTATACAAAATATAAGATGCGTATAAAAACGAAAAAAAACATTGACCGTTTTTAGATTTTAATTTTGGAATTTTGCAAGGCTGAAGATTTACTAGAACGAATACTGTTTGTAGCTACTGTATAAAGGCTTTAGATGTTCCTCAAAAAATATTAATTCATTACGTCATACTTTCGCAAACTGTTAGTTTCGTTAAAATTTATTTTTATAAGGATTCTTTGTACAAATTAATTTTTATAAGCTGATAAGGAAAAAAGTAGTTTATAAGAAAAAATACTACGGAAAAATTGTAGTGCAGAAAGCTGTGTTAAGAATATTCAAACCGTATTAAAAAACTAACAAAAAAAATGTTTGAAATTGTAAGAGAAAATACGATCTTATCGTAGAGAGTAATCGAATGTTTTCAACTTCCATCTTCTCAGCTTGTATGACTTGCAAGAAATCCGTTTGAATGGTATAATTTCAAAAAAAATGTGTGCTGCAAAATGCTATACAATTTTCGCATAACTTACAAAAATACAAAACAGGTGCTTTGGAAAAGCCTTAAGCGATAAGTAACGAAGGATATTGCAAGCTTGAATTCATTATCACGAAGCTCCCTTATCTTTATTCTGTAAATATTGTTTCATGACCTCCATCTCTTTGATTTTTTTTAGTACACCATTAATATCTTAAATTTACAAAATGTATTTAATTATATACTATTTACTAACACTTACTGTTCAAAAGTTTTGTACAAATACATCTTTCCGCTGAAATTTTTATGATCTGTAAAATATTGTTAATTTGATTATACTCAAATAAAAAAAAGACTCTAGAAAACCAATAAAATGAAGATAAAGAAGAATAGTCAATCTAATCCGAAATTTATTTTAAAGCAATGAAAGATATCAAAGAACAAAAACAACTGTAGATTAAATATTAAAAAATACAAGCTTAAATCGTATTTTACATTCTTTGAGGCAATGTGTATAACATGCATGCACACGTTGATAAATAACGTTTAACGTCATTTAACAAAATTGGTAGCAGAGCGTGGTTTTATGTCTACTTCAGGTCCATTATCGTCTTTTTCAAAACTGGCCTTTGCTAGCTCTCTCCATTTTGTAGTTCCAAACATTAACATTCCATTTCTCTGCTTCTCTTCATCTAGATCAGCTAATGTCTTTCTAATTGCAGCTTCTAGATGTCTTATTATGGAACCTGCATCTCCTGGTATAACTGTGTTTGCATTCATATTATTTTCCATAACGAATTTTCTATGAGCGTCAGTTATATTTTTCACTCTGTAACCAGAAAATACTTCAAGAGACCCCAATGTATCATTAGACTGTCCTACAATGTTTGTCTCATTAGCTAAAATCATTTTAGCATAATATTTCACAGAAATGGAAGCATGAGTAGTTACGACATTGTCACTTTTCAAATATGCAAAATGCCCAACAGGCACTTCGCCTCTCTTAATCCATGTATTGTTGTTAGTCATTTCAGCCAGTACCCCATGATCTTCACCATGGGTCCCGAATGATGCTTGAAAGACTAATTGAGAAGTGACCGCCTTGTTGTTAACAGGAATTGATATTTCTTTCATGCTATCGCGATATATTAAAAATGAAGCTTTGTTAGAGAAACCCATTTTATCTAGATTCTTATATACTATTTGCCTTCTCTTTGGCATTGAAGTTGAAGGACCTTCTATATCCATTGCATCTGTCTCAGTGACCTCAACACAAGAAATAAAAAATGCACAAAAGGGTAATGATGCTTTTCTTTTATGTCTATCACCTACTATAGAAGTTATATGAGCTAAATTTCGAATGATTGCAACATTAGTCGAAGGGCTGTTCATCATTACAAAATCAGCGATTGTTCCAATTGAAGGAATATAGCTGTATGCTCTTTCCACAGCAATCTTGTTTTTACGTGCAAATATGTCTGTGTGTATGTATTTGTTATTTTGATAGACCGCTTTATGTAGCAGATCTAGGGTAAAGAGTGTCCGCTATTTCAGCAGGACTAATGGGGATGAACCGCTCTGGTTAGCAATTTTGTTAAATAACGTTTAACGTCATTTAAGTTTGTTTTCAGCTTCAAATCAAAACTAAAAACTGTGGACTACAGTCTCACGCTCCTTCACAGGCTGCGGGACAGCAGATAGTCCAACTATTTGTTTGTTTAAGAAAAATTAAAAGGAAGGAAGAAGTAGAGTGTTGAATACAATATCCAGACTAACTTACCTTTCTTTCCGCTAATTATTGATTCTGGTGGCCTGCGCTTCCTCTTTCCGTCGATTTATAATTACTTATTTTTTTATTTATTTATTTGTTATTTATTATTTTATAATAATTTAAATTCCTTTTTCAATTAGTTTTATATCACTTTATTTTATATTACTAGTATACATATAAAATAAAACAGAAAAGAAAATAAAATAGACGGAACGTCTGGTTAATCTAATAAAATTAGTTATTACGTCTGCACTTGATGAGCGGCAGCGGGCTACTAACTAAAACGCCGCGCAAAGAAATGCACCTTGCACGAAGTTTTAGTTAAACTTCTTTGTCTTACTTGCTATGGGGCCGGTACTTGCTGACTTCATGTGTTTAGGCTTCATGGCTCGCTTCGGTTGTCACTTGACACTTCCAAGAGCCACGAAGTTCACAGTCAGCTTTGTTAGGCGACGACTCTCGTTGAGTATGACTCTGTAAAGAGTCTTAAAATTTTATCATTGGGAATGAAATATAACAGGATAAAATAGAATAAAAATAAAATTTATTAATTTACGCAAGTCGTCACCTAACACACGTATTTGTCGTTACTGGAGTTGTTTGCATCGCAATAATAGTTGGTAGCCGAAGCCGCGAAAATGACGAGTGTTCAAACATACTTTTTTATTTTAATTTTTTAAGTAATCTTTTTCCATTTTTTGATTTCCATGCTAAACTTGAGATCTATTATTAATCTAGTCTTGTATATGAATTTTGACGTGTAAAATTAGTTTTTTTTTTTTTTTTTTTTTTTTTCTCTTGCATTTCAATGACATGTTTATACTTGGACATAGACCGATAAGTCAATCAAATTTTTGTAAAAAGTAGATTCTTAAACGTGTTATACAACGTACTTTTTTTAATTAAAAAAAAAAAATAATTGTAATAAATTTTAAATATTTTTACAAGTTTTTGTATAATAGACAAATGAACCCAAAACACAAAACAATCGGCTTCTACCTATACATGCAAATCCTCCAACAGATTAGCAAATGAAAAGTGAGTGATCACGATTCAAACACGCTTCGATCGAAATTAATGTTCAATCGTAGTACCTTGAGTATTCGTGCTCGAATACAGTATACTTTTTTTTTGTTCAGAGTTGTATTAGTTGAAAGCTGGTAAGGTAATCATTTCTTGCCGCTGTATGTATAAAAAGCAAAATCTATGAATGCTGGGAAATTGTTAACCAGGAATTGTATACTCCAAATGTAAATGAAATGAAATTTGAATAACACAATACGATGTAGATCGCATGATAAAATATTGAAAAGGTATAAAAAAAATATATGCTAACAGTTGAAAGCATTTCTTAAATTGTAAAATTTTTCAATAATGTATGGCATTGATATGCTCTACACAACTTGTAAAACTAAGCATTTTTAGTAAGCAATTATTTTAACTGATAAGTTTCAAATAGCCTTTCATTCAAAGTGATGAATTCAATATTACGCTGAATAATATATCTTGAAAAATGAGACTGTTGTAGAGATTGGGAATTCACAGAAAAAATACCTATAAGCTCCTATTTAATAAATGTAATAATGATAAATATTATGTATGTATACAAAACACATAATCAGTATTTCACATCTTTGAAAAACCATAATTAAGCATTAGAAAATGTGCGTTATATACAAAGCTAGCCTTGTGTTTGATAATAATGTTTTTAAGTGCAAATAATGACTTTTATGCGTTTCATCAACTTACAATTCGAGAGCCACAGATTATGATTGTCGTTACTACCGTACTTACCGTAATTAAGTTCAACCCATTGATCAATAACGAAATAAAAATAAAAATGAAAGGTACGCTCTCTAATTAGAGCAAGTGCTTAGACATAATAGAGCAGCATCGTCCTTGCGCTCGCGCGTGCGTTGCTGCGTGAGTACATGTTAATTTTATACGTATGTACAGAATGAAAAAAAAAAAAAAAATTTACAATTATATAATAGGAAATAAAAGTAAAATAAAATTTTGCACTGTATGTATGGCACGTTGTACGTATCGTATTGCACTTTGTTTGTAGGTAATATATACATTTTGTCATTAGTTTAACATTTTTATCAAAACTTGCCTTTATAACGCATAATAAAAAATGATTTGCGCTCTTTTCACTTCGCAAATAACGTTTTCCAGTTACATTCATCGCTTGCATATACATAAAGAATTTGATGATATGGCTATAGACAATCTTTTTATAGAGTTGAGTAATTTAATTTGGCATCTTAAATTAAATTTTATTTTGCGTCACACATTTTTTGGTCTCATAATCGTTTTTTTATGTCAATGGAACTCATTTATAATAAAATTTCATCGAAACCAAAAAATGAAATAACAAGTATAAAATTGTGTACAAATTCGAATAGATCGTTGTTCAATTCTCGAACGGATGCTTTATATTTAATTTGCATCCATAGATCGATTGCAATCAAGTGACCTTTTTAAACACCAGTTGATTGATTCATAAAAAAGCACAGTAATTTATATAATTGCAACATTTTTTAGCGTCATTTATATCGGTAAACGTTTCAGAAATGGAATAAAAATATACCTAATATAATATTGTAAATATTATGCGAAAAATTAATTGATCATTTTTAGTAACGAGCTTCAATTGGAAAAAAAACCTATGAAGCAATGCAATTTTTTTTACGAACAAATATTTCTTTACAGCTTTTAAGNTTTGAGCAGTGCTAAGAAACGAGTTGCTGATCTGACACCCATTCAAGTTAGGACGCAAGGTATATAGGCAGCGATTAAAACATTTGTAGAGTAAAAAAAAAATGCAAGCTTCTAAAATGACGTTTTAGCCCGAAAATTTGCGGAAGAGGCATTTGCCAAGCAGAAAAAGGTCTTTGCATCCTGGGGCATCATGGCCGACTGGAAGGACAGCAGTTGTTACTTTACAAACACCACGTCGTACATAAAAAATCAACTCCAACAGTTTTATAGTTTGTACGAAAAGAAGTTGGTGTTCAGGGACTTCAAGCCTGTCTATTGGTCACCTTCATCAAAGTACGTTTTGCTTCCTTATACTTGATGATGTTGAAAAAACAAAAAACAAACAAACAACAAAATTGTAATACTTTAGATGTATAAATGTATAAATAAGAGATTTTTTCAATAATAAGAAACACATTTACATACGGAAAATATCCTTAGCTTTAACACGAAACAAATAAGAAACGTGTGAAATGAGAAGTAACTAACAATTGTTTTCTCTTTTGCAAAAACAACGCATACTTGATCTCTTTATTCTTACTGTGAGAGTAAACTACTTAGTACATAATATGTAATGTTTAAGCAAGGAGAAACATGCATTGCATGAAGGAAGGAAGGAAGAACAAAAAATAATAATAATAAAATAATTAAGTAACAAATGTGTTAACTCTCGTCCAAGCAGCGTATTTTACCTTTTAGTTGAATAAACCCCAGCTCCCAGCGAAACTACGGGCGCACCGTTTGTATATTGAGAATAATAATAATAATATTAAAAAGAAGAAANTTTATTTCGTCATTTTTAATGCGAAAAAAAAAATGCTACAGTTTACTAGGTGTGAACGTAAAAACATAATGAAAAAACGCCTCTCGACTCGATAGTCGAAATGAGATTATAATAATTATCATTAATAATATTAATATTGATACTATTTAGAAGATGATGATGATGATGTATTGCAACATTGTGTGTGTACTTACGACAGCATAATGATGTTTACGATAAGGGAGGAGAATAGAAGGGAAGTTTTTGGAAAGAGTTGATACAAAAAGGCCTTGTCTCTCGTCTGTTGCACACATTGATGGTGGACGGAACTGTATAATGCACTGCGATATTTGAATAATTCACTGTACTGCTGACAATTTAATTAGTGTTTGAGGTAGAAGGTAATAAGTATGTGATGAGAGGTGATGGAAGAAGGTGGTATTGCAAAAAAATAGAGCATTGGAATTGTGTTGAGCCCTCGAAGAGTGATCCGATCCATCTTCTTGACTATACGCAGTGTCCAGTGACCGATGATTGCTAAAATGAATAAATGCTTACGACGTTTACATTACCATGTTTTATTCTTTGTCCTCATAATTCACCTAAGCTCTAGTTTTACATTTTTTCAAACTTATTGTTTATGATTATTACTTTCCTCCTACTACGTACAATATATTATAATATGAGTATTTAAATTTGCACAAAGTGTGGCGCCATTGCGCGCCAAAATTATCGTCAGCAGCGCCCCCTTTAAAAAACAAAAAAAAAACAGCTATAGTGTTTTACACCCTATATGTATACTCGCGATTCTTGACAAAAGATGTAACGAAAGAAAAATCTATACACTTAATGGTGATGATAAAGAGTTTAATTTAATTCTGATGACAAAGTATTGCATTGACGAAGAAATGCAAGATTAAAAAATGTGCTATAATAGTGAGTGACGAAGGAAAAATATACAAATTGGAGCAGTGAGAGTCGAGTGTCCATCAGTTCACAACAACCCACACAAACACACGCAATATATATATAGGTAAAAACGAGAGTAAGGAAATTGGAGCTGGCCGTTTAACTTAGTTTTTTAATCTACAGTTCATGGATCTTTTTTTCTGTAACTAAAGTACTTGAAACTTTTTCAGGAGCCTGCAGTAGCATAAGGTAAGCGAATACTTCGATTTCTATTATAGAGGTTACAGGGGTGCTGGCGCAGGCGAACACCAAAGTGCCAAATATCGTACCTATATAAACTATTGCGTGTGCGCAGCAAGGAGTCGTCGTTGTTGTCATCGTTGTGCAAATAAATTGCGTGAAATTCGGTAAAACTCTGTGGAGAGCAGGTGCCCAACACACGGAACTACACTTTCCCATTCTCAGTCGGGCGTTTGCCTGCCATTATATTGACAAGAGGCTCACAGGGGGAGTAGCAATTGGAGAGCGACAAAAGAAGCGTGCACGAGGCGAGCCAGTGTACACCGCGAGTATGCCCAGTGGGAGTTGTAGCTGCTACCATGGCAGCAGGAGAGGACAGCAGCGCCTCCGGCAATTATCATTACCAACACCAGCATCCCAACAACAGCAACAATAACACCAGCAACAACAACAACGTCAACAACAATACCAACGCCGCTGCATCAGCAGCGGTTGTTGTGAAGCCAAGGCAAGAGAAGCAGTACGATTACCTGCTCAAGTTCCTACTCGTTGGTGACAGCGACGTAGGCAAGCAGGAGATACTCAGTGGCCTAGAAGATGGTGCCTTTGAGTCGCCCTTCTGCAGTGGAAGTGGTATTATATATTTTTGTTATTAACGCGCAGTCCGTTTTTTCCTTAATAAGTATGGGTTGGTTCACTCGTGTACCTTATGATTTCGGTTTGTTTCAGCTTACAAGACTACTACTATTTTGTTGGATGGAAAAAGGGTAAAACTACAGCTTTGGGATACATCTGGTCAAGGTAGATTTTGCACTATTATAAGGTCGTATTCTAGAGGAGCTCAAGGAATTCTTTTGGTTTATGATATTACAAATAAGTGGTCCTTTGACGGGATAGACAGGTGGCTCAAAGAAGTGGAAGAGGTAAGGATTTTTGTTATTAAAGCATAAGGAATTCAAAGTTTAAAAAAATAAATTCCTAATAAATTGTAATTGCACACACAGCAAGCACCAGGTGTACCCAAAGTTTTGGTTGGAAACCGTCTTCATTTAGCTTTTAAAAGACAAGTTAGCGAACGCGATGCTGAACTTTATGCTGCTAAGAATCGTATGGCTTTTTTCGAAGTATCTCCACTGTGTGACTTTAATATAAGGGAAAGTTTTTCTGAACTCTCCAGGATGGCACTTCATCGCAATGGAATGGAACGTTTATGGAGATCAAATAAAGGTCATATAAAATCAGATTATTTATACATCATGTAGATCACACGAGCATCCAGATTTTAAAGGATCTTATGTACTTTGATTGCAGTGTTGAGTCTTCAAGAATTGGCATGTCGAGCGATTGTGGCGCGAACGACTGTCTACGGCATTGACCAGCTCCCGTTACCTGTGTCCATCAAGTCCCACCTCAAGTCCTACGCCATGACGACGGTACCGCAGCTGAGACCTCGTTTCCACAGCTCCTGCGGTAATCGAACCTTTTGTACGATCAAATCCCTGAATCTCGGCCACCGTAAGTTACGCTTCGTGGCCGGCACGAGTCCAAGTAGCGCGGGCTCATCGACGCCCGGCAGCTCACCGCCCGGAAGTATTAATGATTCACGCACGAGTTGCGCGGGTCGTAATTCCTGCACGATATCCTGATTGATCAGAGAAAGCACGTTGTTGATTGTTCTTTGATCCATGTTACAAATGTAGCGTCCGATAATATTAGTGAATTTTGTGCTTTATTTTAGTCGCACTAAATATTTTTTGGGTTATCAGGTTGATTTTAAATTAAAATTTTTTTTTTTTTACAACTTATTGATTTAAAAGCTGTAATGACGTATGTCAAGTACAAGTGCGTAATAATATCGATATTCAAACGGACATCGATCTTTAACTTTTCAAGAATTGTATGGAATTTTCATACACAGAACCCAGGCAACATATGACTTAATTATGTACGAAAGCACGTTATGTACCAATTCGCGTGTGTGTGAGTGTTTGTGGGTGCGCGTGTTGTATTAATAAAGCAAATCAGAGTAAATTACTCTTGTAAATTATGAAGCCTAGTTTTTAAAAACAATTGCCAACTGTTATTTAATTTATTTCGTCATTTTTAATGCGAAAAAAAAAATGCTACAGTTTACTAGTCTACGTAAAATTTAAATGATTTTTGAAAACAAATCATTATGTTTGACTCAAGATAATGCGATGTTTAAAATTACGTTTTACACGGTTTGCGAAATTTTTAACATTAAATTAACTTAACTATGAGTAACAGTAGCGAGCTAGTCACGGTGATGAATTTTAAAACTCTTGTAAACTTTTTTCTGATTTATTTACACTCAGAGATATACATTATATGTTTAAAGGTTGTACATAAAAATTTTCACAGAGCAAACCTTCTCTATGGTATTAAACTCTAAAAGAATCGTAACCGTATCATTGCCATTTTTTTAATTAATGAAATCGTGATTGATGTAAATTGATTGAGAATTAGAATTATCGTACATTTAAGAGTACTAACGTTTTTGAAAATCGAAGAGAACTGAACAAATTATGTATAAAAAAATGAATGATGGAAAAACATCTCATTTGTGTATACGGTAATATAAGTCGATGACAAGTTTGGTTGAATAACAAAAGGCAACCAATCATATTTTTGTACATCTTGTAAAAAGTATTTTATGTTACGTACTAAAAACTACTCGTTCACATGTGTTTGTAGGTGTGGGTGTATTTAAAATCATGTAAACTAAAATGTGTGTATACATCGCTCGTACAGAAAAATGTGAAACACTTGTAATATAGTTATATCAGTTAATAATATTTTTGTTCTTATTTGACGAATGACGTCTTTTCATTACATTTCCTAAAAAAAATATTTTTATTTCAGTCAAATGATTCTTTTTCAAAAAGAGAGTATGAGTTACCATGACAACAGAATAGATTACTTTACCCAAGTTTGTGGTGTATTGTGGTGTTTTGTTTTCATGATCTAACAATGGCATCAACAATGAATGATACAAACTCGCAACATATAAAATTATATCTTCGATTAAAAATGCAGGAAATTGGTATCGACAAATCGCTTGCAGTGTTTATTAACTATGCCAAAAGTGATGTGGAGACTTGGAAAAGTATTAAGCGTGACATCGATGAATTCGAAAAAGAGAGGTAACAAATAATCGTTTTACTGTAATAAAATATTTATTTGAAAAATTGCGATTCAATTTAGACAGAAAATCGAGGTACCACTCAGAGAAAAAATAATCGATGTTTATCAGGAGTTGAAATCTGTAAAAGAAATGATGGCTCCGAGCAACGTCAAAAATATTGGTAATCATGATTAAAAAAAAAAAAAAAAATTGTTTGATAATATTAAGAGCAACAAATCGGTTACATTGAACAAACTAATTTTTAGACCTCGAGGTTTTCAAGAAAAAATTACAGTCCCTGTGGAAAAGGGTGCAGGAGTTCAAAAATTCTTGCACTGACATTGGTAATTTAGCGAACGAGCAGAAAAACTTGAGCACCGAACTTGACGAGTTGCACAGAAAAATCCACAAACACGAAAACTTCCTATCCAACGACAAGTTTTATTCAAGAATCATAAGCGTCCAAGCTGCGCTACAGAGACAAGATCCCAACAAGGAGTGCGACTTTGGCGAAGCGGAGAATTTTTTCGCATTGATATCCAACTCGGGTAACGTTGTAATTGCTCAATTGATCCAAGCGAAGCGTATTAATCAACAAATTTTTTTTTATGCACAAAGGACACACCGGTGGCTGGAGCGAAAAGGATCATTTGCTCTACGTCAAGTTCCGCAAAAAACACAAGAGCACCGAAGCTCTCGTGTCCGCGTTACGGACCAAGTGCCCAGATCTCACCGAGGAGAACATCATGAAGCACGACGCCTGGTACAAGATTTACCTCGATTTGCGGGAGAAGCAAAAAATCGCGGTACAAGAGTGGCGCGATCGCAAAGAAGCCGAACGTCGTCGCGACAGAGCTCCGCCGCCGTCAACGGAAAAAGTCAAGTCCCCGGTAGTGGCGAGTAGCGAAAAAATTGCAGAGCGTAACGAGGCTGCGATAGAGAAAAGAAAAGAGATTCTGAACAAGTTGAAGGAGAAGAAGGAGATTCAGAGATTCATGAACGAGGAGCGCATGAGGGGTCAAACGAAATTGAAAAAGGAAGGATGGAAAATCCGGAGGCATCCCAAGCCTGCCAGGATTACGAAGATCGTGAAGGAGGACAAGCCCGGTGGTGACAGGGAGCCGAGCAATCAGACAGTTAAACAGTGCAGACCTTCCTTCAAGTCTAGTTTGTTTCTGCAACTTTACAGGTTTGTTTATACTGTGTTTAAGCCTTTTTTTTTTTTTTTTTTTTTAATCGACTTTGAATCATTTTTTTCTTCTTCATCGCAGAGCACGTGACAAGCAATATTTGGAAAAGAGAAAAAAAGTTTTGTTGCACATGAACGCTTCGAAACAGACGGCGCTACCGGTTGATCAGGATTTTTCAAAGTATCAGGAATCTATTTTGTTTAAGGAGACAAAAGCTTGGCAAGAAAAGTTCAAATTTGAACCCAAATCAACCGAGACTTTTTTTTATATTAAGAATGTGCCAGGGCTTGGAAAAAGTAATGAAACTTCAGATTCGTCCTTGAATCGGCATCTATAAATACGCATAAAATTGCACAAGGCGATTATTTTTGTACATACAGATGGTTAAAGGGAGACACGGAGGGTGCGGATGAAAAAACAAATAAATACAACGCTATGATATATACTTATGTTTATTTTTTTTTTTTCTTTATGAACGTACCTTTTTTCCGGACGATGTACATAATAAGTTATGAGTAAAAGAGCGTTAAGTCTTATCCAGAACTGTCATTCAATACTTCATTTTACCGTTGTTTGTTACTTGTTTAAAATTTTTTTTTTTTTTTTCATTTTTTTTCTTATTCAACTTTACAACAACATTCAGTTTTTCATCAACTACACACAATTATGGATAACATTAACACTGGACAATTTTACTCACGTATGTATATATACATATATTTATATATTTATACGCGATATTTATATAAGTATATATATATAATGTATTTGTTGTTTCTTTTTTTCATCTTTGAATGTGCCTTTTGATTGATATTCTCCGATGGATTACCAAATACAAAAACAGTTGTTACAGTATGTAATATAATGTTATAATACAAGCGAGCCTCCTTATTGCGTCGAATAGGGTGCTGTACATTAAAAATGTTCTCTATTTTCTTTCCCTTCGTTCATTATATTATCTTGAACCTTAATCGACACGATACATTGACCACCTTATGGAAATACTTATGTACGAACAGAGCCCCTAACTTTTACATTATATGTAAGTAGAAATATAACTATTTAGAATTTACTGTACTTTCTGAAAAGATTTTTTTTATTACAACAGGGGTTTTTTATTCTTTTATTTTCAAGTGCAAAACCAAACGCTCTCTTTTTTTTATATTCAAATTTTTTCACAATCTTTCGTATATTTTCGCGTTGTAACAATAATAATAAGTATTATTTACTTTAATTTACTTTATTCAATTCGATACTTAGCACTCAGAAATGACTATTTCATCATTTGCATATGCTGTGCTTCAGTGTATATTTTTTCTCATCCTATCGGACATTTATACTAGAATTTTTTACTTTGATGTCCAAGTGACAAAAGAGAATCACTTTCTCTCCCTCTTTTAACTTATTCAAAAAATATTTACAAGCATGAAGATTTGTACACTCTCGTCTCTTAAATTTTTTTGTTTTCTTTTATTCCAGCATGTTTTTGTTAATTCGACTTTCGACTTTATCGATATTTTATAACACGATGATTAATCGAGTTAATTATTACTTATTTTTTATTTATCAAAATTCAAAAATTTTCTCTTCCAACCTTATAGATCTATCATTGCACGCTTTTCGCAAAAAAAGTTCATTTTGTCAATACAAAGTAGGGACAACAATACACTTTTTTTTAAAGAGTTTTTTTTAGATTGCCCTTTGAGATGAATTTCAATTAATTTTTTTATACATCAAAAGGAACTGCAATTAACTTTTTCTCTTTGCATAGCTAAATTTACATTTTTTTTCTATTTACTTTTCGTTTGTCTAGAGTCAGTAGTCTAAAGTATTAAATTAATCTCGGTTCAAATAAATATTACACAAAAAAGAATATCTATAGATTTATTTTGATAATTTATTAAATCGTGCTCGAAGAATTCCGCAATATTAACTTGAAAAGTATTCCTAAACAACGCAAAACCATGAAAATGCATTATACTTTTGTGTAATAAATAATTTTAGGTATTTCAAGCAAGTGAAAAATAATTTCAACTTGTAAGACACTAAAATTAAATTTGTTCAATTTAAAGATCTTTCACTTACGTGAATCGATCCACATTCTTGTATTGCGTCAAAGTTATAGCTGTTATGGCATAATTTACAATTTGCATAAAATTTATTTCATGTAAACATCTGACGTACAATAACAACATATACATCGATGATAAGAATACGACTCTTTTTCGTTTAAAGGTACGATTTATTTTGACAGAGCAAGGAATTGAACTAAATTTTGAGTAATAATTATCTTAATTGTGTTGTCCATCCAAATTATGTACGATTATACACTATGTTCAATTTCACGTAAGAAAATAAGATACTTCAGTCACAGATTTTTAGTATATCTTAATATATCGACAATATTTACAGAATATTTTGTTACTTTTTCCCATGCAAACAATACTTTACTTATTATATACTATACTATATTCATTGCTCCATCTAAATTCTTTACCTTTTCAAATTGGCTATCCTAATATAATATTCTCGTAAACTTGCGCCTGAGAAAATCTGACGAATAGCGTTCGTAAATAATTAAAAAAATTAAAAACTATCTTTCACTACGGATTCCCTCAACATCCGTTAAATGGATTTGAAAAACTGTATTATGTGTCGGCTGGTCCTTTTTTCTTCATATTTCCGGGGAAGAATCATCATGTTCTTCACACTCGAAATAAAAAGCATCCGTCATTTCATAATTTTTACATTAGATTTATCACTACATTTAATATTCATGTAATTAACATTGTCTTTAACCATCTCGTCCCCTGCTTCCTAATATTGTTTTAAAAACCTATGTTATATATGTACAGAGATGAACTTTCATCGACGGCTCTACGGATAACGAGTCCAGAACACTATTAGCGAGACAACGAAAATAGTTCACACCAGCCAAACGACAATTGATCGAACGACTGTTTTACGTTGCTACTCACGCTTGGTAGTCTGGGTCGCTAAAGTCCTCTGCGCTGTCACTGCTGTCCGATAGTCTTCTCCTCTTCTTTTTCTTGTGTTTTTTTGGCTTCTCTGGTTTGTGCGTGCGGTGCTTTCTGTGGTGATCCTTCTCCGCGGAGGTCGGATGATGGCTCGCGTGTATCGTGAGTTTGGGCACTCGGGGAGGTCCTGGAACCGGATTCATCGAGTTGTTGGGGTGCTCTTGCACCTGGTGCACCTGATACTGAACAACGCCGGCCGCATCAGTTGGCCGATCCGGCTCGGACGAATTAGCAACTTTGTCGAGGACGCGCTTTGATCTTGGAGCGGAACCACCTGCGTCGTCATCATCTTCTTCAGGGTCGTCGGGATCGAACTTCATTATGAGCTGTTTGAAATCGAGGTATTCCTTGACAAGCTGTTGTCTGCCTTGTTCATCCAGTTCATCTTCATCTTTTTTGTCATTTTTGAGCCTTTGCAGCGTGTTTTTGGGCTTGAAGTGCAAATTGTTTTTGCGATTTACTGCCTTTTCGTAAACTTTGGCTGCTTCGGACGGTGAGTACTGACTTATTTTGGCGTCGGAGAAGCCGTAGAGATCTTTGAGATGCTGCCTAAGGGTTAGCAACAAGAGAAAACCCTGACTGGCGTTTATATATTGCCGCAGTAATTTCGTATCTTGCGGTAATCTTTGAAGCACCGATTCTTCGTCTTCCTCGTCATCCTCCTCGTCCTCTGCGAGCGCTGCCAACACCGGATCCTGCTTTGTTCTACCTTGCGGTTGTACCGAATGGTGCTGTTGTTCTACTGTTGGTTGAGGTACCAGAGGCACTTGTTGAGGTACGGTGGGAGCACTTGGATAATTCAGCCCTGTCATTGGCATCAAACCTACTGCTAATTCGTTTGCTATCCGCATTTCTCCAGCCTGTAAAAATAAAAAATAAAAATAAAAAACTTTTAGCAAAAAGAAAAAACAAACTGATACAATTTATGAATTCTACTTCAAGTTACCTGTGGATAATACATTGAAAGCTGTGGATAAGGATACTGTTGAGGCAGCAGAGGTAAGTGCGCTTCATGTTGCTGTTGTTGTTGCTGCACTTGTTCTTGAGGGAGCTGCTGTTGTTCCATTTCCATAGGCTGCGGAATAGGTTGCGGCTGCTGCAGCTGCTCCTGTGGCTTTGGGTGGGCACCAATTTTCGGTAACAGCGCTTCCTTGAACAACTGAAGCAGGTTTGTACCAGCCATCGAAATAACGATGTCTATGTGGTGAATGATAAACAGCGGCTCGTCCTGCACTTGATAGGAAAAGTAAGCGAGATTGTCCGCAAGGTATAACATCTGCGAGAGACTAGTCTTGACGCTCTCGTCAAACTGCTTGAGGAACGACTGCACGATGGCTCGCCTCTGTTGCTTCGTGCTCCTGAGTATCGTGTACAGAAAACCATTGAGGGCAGACGGGTACTCGTTCTCTTTGACCCTCATGCCTCGCACCACTGCTGCATCCTTTTGCAATATCTGCTGGAGCCTATAACTAAGCTTGATGCCAACGCTAGCTTTCGTGTGCACGAAGCCCGGATACTTTTTCTCGATCTCCTGTAGCTGCTTGTCGGCACTGTGACTGACGCTCGTCTCGAAATCGGTGCTCATGCAAATGAGATAGGGCACTATCGTAACCGGGTGAACCAGACCCTGTGCAAGGATCAACTGAATGACCTTGAGCGCAGCGTGTCTAACGCTGAGGTTCGCGTGCAAAAACGATTCCAGAATCTGCTTGAGGTAGCGCTGAATGACCGCGCTAGCCATTCCGGACGAAATGTCGCCCATTTCTTTGAGATTTTCTTTTTTGGACATTTTTGCCCACTCGAGGTCTTGCTTTATCATCCGCTTTTCCTCCTCGGCGAGATAAAGCTCGATGTTCTTGAGCACCTGGATCCTCATTTGCACCGATGCGCAATCCGAGGTGAGGAAGTAGTGGTACAGCTCCTCGAGCTGCGGCAGCATCATAAAGTCGTAATGTCTGATGCAAAGCGAGCCGATCGCCGACAGGGTAAAGTGACGCGCGTCGTCGTTCTCCTGGTTGACGAAGTAACTAAGGGTTTCAAAGACCTGGTCCTTGATGTTCTCGGGCAAGCCGTCGATCACCTGCAGATCCGTGAAATCAAAGTGCCGGAGCAGCAAGCCCACCGTGAACAAGGCCCGGCGGAAGAAGGGCTTGAACTTCTGCAACAGGGGATTGTCAGGATTCTGCTCGTAATACGATTTATACGTCGTGAGGCTGCCATAGTATTTGTTGAAGCAGTCGCGTATGAGCTTGAAGTTGCGCGTGACGTTGTTGACGATGGAGCCGAGACAAGAGAGACAGCTCGATACTACCGTTCGATCGTGCTGTAATATCAACTTGACCGAGTCTTCCTCGAGCTGGGCGAGGAAAGTCTCACTCGGGTGTTCGATCAGGGGAACCACTAGTTCCAACGTGTGCGCCACACTACTGATTATCTGATAATCGCCTTGCGTCTGACATTTCAAGCTAAGATACGGCTGCAGTGTTATCGCGTGGTTCACCAACAGCTGTGGCCTGATCTTGGCAAACAGGTGGAGGGTGGTTAGGCAAGCTACGAGGCGCTGCGAGGAACCACGTTTCTGATCACCTCCCTCGTCGGTGTGGCTACTCGGACTCGGCAGATTCGTCTCCTCGAGCCTAAGCACGTTTTCAATCAGGCAGTCGACGATCTGCGTGCACGCCGTGACCAGAGCTTTCGGCGGCTCAACCACCATTTTCGTGCTGTCTTCCTTGTCTTCTTTGGGCTTGAATAGACTGACCAGCAGCTGCTCAAACCACTCGAGTCCGATGTCCTTGCAAGCGGCCACGACGTCCGTTATGTTCATCACCTTCCTCAGCAGAGCCTTGTGATCGAGAATCGGTTTCTCCTTGACCGGCGTGAACCACATGTTTTGGAAGACCTCCATCACCAACTTTCTGATTCCCTCCTCGTCGTTAACGCGCCTGATCATTTTCACGCATATCTCGGGAATCTTTTCGTACTCCGGAAACTCCATGCATATGTCCTTGAGAATCTTAATGACGCGTTTCCTCACACTGACCCCGGTATCCAGTATCCGCGCCAGCAGTATGTCGTAGTACTTGTCGATGAGCACTGGCCGGCTAAGAACGAATTTTCCGACGAGATCGACCGCGGCTTCGCGCACCGAGGTCGAATGATCGAGAAACGAATGCTTGACGCCCAGTTGCATGTCCGAGCGGGCGAGCACGTTGGGATCGGCCTCGACTATCATCGTCAGGCACTTCATCGCCTTGGTGCGAATGGCTATCGAGTTTTCGGTGAGCACGCAGAGGATGTCGCGCAGGTAACGATCGAAGCTCTGGGAGAAGGGCCGCGTCGAAGCCAGGTACTGGGTTATCAGCTCGGCCGTGTTGTAGTCTATGTAAGTCTGCAAGATGTCGGGCTTCGTACCCGAGCTGTACGGCCGGATTTTGCTGATTATAAGCTTTTTGCGCTCATCGATGATACGGTAGGTCTCGGAGTACTTTTGCTCGCTGTCGTTGTCATTCTCGTCGGGCTGGAGATCTTCGGTAATCTCTGGCTCGCTCTCGTCGTCGCTCACCATTCGATTTCGGCCTCCTTTTTTCTTCGCCTTCATCTTCCTGGACAACTTTTTACTCGGCGTCAGTACATTCTTCGGCTGGCCTACCTTTTGCTTCTCCATTGCGCAATCCTTGTACCACTGGGCGAGATAAAAGTGCCGGGCGTAGCCGAGCGCCGAGTCCTTGGTGCCGTTGACAGCCAAATAGTCGAGCATCACCTTCTGCAGAAAGACAACTCGCTCCTCGGATTCGCTCAATCCCGAAATGTCCTTGTCCTTGACCTGATCGTACTCGATGTCACGGCTCTGCTCGAGTTTTATGTCCCTGATTATTTGATCGATGGTGTCGAGTTTGCACTGCGAGCTCACGGCGTCCTTGCGCAACCTCGCGGCCACGACCCCCAGGTATTCGATCGAGGCCACTCTGAGCGACATGTCCGAATTCTTGGTGGTAAAGTGCTGGACCAACAGCTTACCGAGCAAACTGAGCATCAGCTCGGCGGCCGGCCATTCGGGTTTGTTGACCGTAGCCAAAAGATCCTGGACAAAGTTTTCGAAGAGCGGCCTATAGTCGATTTCCTCGCCTTTGCTACCGCACTTGTTGAGAAAGGCCGTCAGAAAGTTGCCCGCCAGCCGTTGAGCCGCATCGTATTTGCCGAGCACAAGCACGTCCACGTCTGTAGGCTGGAGTTGGCTCATCTGGCCGTCTTTCTTGTCCTCGGGTTCCTTGACCCCGAGGAGTTTCTTGTTGTCCCGCGTCGGGATTACAGTGAAATCCGACAGCACGACCACGCACTGGATCAATTGAAGTACCAGGGCAGTCAGCATTTGAATGTACTCGTCGGTGCTGAGCCGGTAGGTCCTCAGGCTGCGCTTGCTGCTCGGTAGCCGGGCGATCGACGCTATTATGTCCTCGAGCAATATCCGCCGGTGCTTCTCGTACTTGGTGAAGATGACGGTGACGAGCTTGAGCGAGCTGAGCTGTAGGTCACTGACATTCTCGACGAAGAACGGCGCGACTCCGAGTGTCGAAGCGTGCAGCACGCTCGTGTCGGTGAGGATCTGTATGCCTAGTAGCTCGGCCAGCAAGCCGACCAACTCGTTCAGTTTACTGTACACCATCAGGAGATTCTTCTCGCGGACCTCCTTGGCGTGGCTGCGCTTCTTCCTGCCGCTCGCGTTAAAGTTATCAGTCTTGTTTCTCGAGTCTATCCGGTAGACCGGATCGTACGAGGGAAATATCGTGTTTTGCAGCTGGAACTTGATAAATTGGATTATCCGGTCTATCACGTCCTCGAGGAATATGGTCTTGGGCATGTTGCTCGAGGTCATGATGTGTAGGCAAACGAGGGATGCGTCGACGGCTTGTTGCACCCGGCTCATAGCGATTTGCATCCACATTTTGCTTTGCTCCGCGTCGTCGTCCGGATCGGCCAGGGGCGAGACTTTAGCGCCATCCCGGATGTTTTTCTCAAGAATGTTGAGCAACCTCACCAGTTTTTCAGCAGGCACGGATTCCATAGCCCCCAAGGACTTGAGCTTAGCTGCCTCGGAACATAGCGCCTGCAGTTGGTGATCGCTGATGAGCAGCTCGGCCGGAACGTCGCCGTCCTCGTCTATCTCGTCCAGGGCTGCCTCTTCCGTGTTCTCGAATATCGTCTCGATCAACATGTTGAAGCGCTGGTACGTGTTTGTCTCCATGAGCTCCTCCACGCTGAGCTTCGGTAGCACGGGCACCAGTTTTTTCTCGAATTTGCGAATTTTTGGCTTAACCGACGCGAAAATTTCATCCTTTTTATCATCCTCGTCCTCTTCAAAAAGCCTTTTTCTCCTTCCACTACTCAGCACGCGCTTGTCGTCTACGCTACCTTTTTTCTCGGCCTTTTCACGTTCTTTCTTCGCTTGGCGCTCTTTCGCTTTGGCTTTGAAGTATTTGTTGTTTTTGCCGATTTCCTCTTCACTGTCGGACTCGGACTTGATCGATTTGTCGTCGCGACTCGATATACTCGTCCTCGTTGAGCGCACAACTGACTTTTCGGCGGATGAGTTCAATTTTTGCTTCAAAAGCGCCTGATCGGCTAGCAACCTGTTCAACATGATAACAGGTTCTTTGAGTGGAATTTTTACGTCCTTTTCTTGTGCATTGTTTTGTTGCTGCACCATTGGCTGTTCTTGCAACAGCTGCTGCTGTTGGTCCGGCTGTTGATATTGCAATTGCTGCATTTGCTGGATTTCATGCTGTTGCTGATGCAGGTTCAATTGTTCATTTGAAAACTGTTGCTGCTCAGCTAGATGATGCTGGGCTAACGTTGGTTGCATAGGATGTTGCTGATTAAAGAGCATGTGTGGCTGCTGCTGAATATTAACCGGTACTGGGTCAGGCAAAGGCATCATGGCATTGTTTAGATTTACACTGGCACTGACATTGTCAAACACATTGACCTGAGTTACTGGTAGTTGAGCAGACATTAGATCCCTACTGTGGCTCGCATCTAAACTTCCAATAGGTATATCGATGTCGGGAAGACCTGCTACCTGGTCCAGGACAAACTGCTGATTATCGTGGATTGTATGATCAATATCCAAGCCTTGAGGTAAGTGAGGCTGGTGCAGTGGTCGGTTGATCATAGGATCAAACATTTGCTGATGAACGTTTAGTTGTTGTTGATGATGCATTTGATGAGGCTGGTGCAGGGAATGATGATGATGCTGCTGCTGCTGCTGCTGCTGAGGTTGATGTTGACTCGATGGGATTCCACTATCGCTCGGAGGTGTCATTTGGATATTATGCTGAGGAGTCATGCCACTTGCCATTGCATGATGCTGAGGAGTAACGTTGCCGAGTGTTGATACTAGCGGACTGGGTGTACTCATGTGTGCTGGAGAATGCATCTCGAATGGAGAAGCAATGTTATTCAAACAATGAGTATCTTCCATCATATGCTGCGGAGTTGTGGACGTTCTTGTTTGTTCTGTTATAACGGTTGCTCTAGGCGACGGGGAAGGCACAGTGAAAGGACTACTTTGTGTAACGTTGGTATGATTCTGGGGTGCAACAGGCATACCCGGGTTCTGCGGATGTGGAATCCCACCAGGTAACATTGATCTGCTGCTCGCACCCATGTGCGCAGGACTGTCTTGAGGCGTTAGCCTCGAATTTGATGATGAATTTGAATAAGATGGGGAGAATCCCTCATAATTGCTGGCCATTTGATGGCTCTGTTGCGGCCAACTTCGAGGGGAATTGTATTGTGGCCCTTGAAATACATGGGGGCTAGTTTGCAATATTGCTTGCAAAAGTTCTGGAGGATTTTGCTGCTCTTCCAAAGGTTGCTCAAAACTTGCATAGTGATCCTTCAACTCGATATGATCAGACGAGGTCTGAGAAAGTGACATGATGAGCTGGGGTACCAAATTTTCATCGCTAGAACTCAACAATATTTGTGCCTCGTCTGCAACTCTAGGATGAAACAACAATGACTTGTTGGTAAGAGTCTGTGGTAATGGTGCTGGCAGAGGCATTTCTGTCAACAAGTCGGATAAACTTGCTATACCCGCAAGGGTAGTGACTGGTATACTTGGTATTACCCCGTTCATTTTGATCTGTATTTGTTCTGGCATCTGATGTTCTTGTCAAGAAACAACAACGATCTGCCAAATGAAGAAAACTATTAAACCAGCAACTTTGCTGCCTAGCACAACAATTCGTGAGCACTGGCTGTATACATTGCACCAAACAACACTTTCAGTTTGCACTTTTTATGTTTATGTTCACTGTGGCACAAACGAAACTCACTTGCACTGTTCACCGATTGTTTGTAAACACACGAGACGAAGATAGAAAAGATAAAAGACACCAGGGCACTAGTGCCCAGGGGGCCGGCTAAAAGTCAGTGCAATCCATCAGGTCTCATGTTGTCGCATTGCGCGCAATCAGCCAAATTTTGAAGAGGCTCTCGGATCCTGCGGCAGCCGAAACATCCTGTATTAAGAATCGAGCGACCAGCATAAACTAAAAAATATAAAAAATTAGTATCCTCACGCTCAGAAAAACGCTCTTGCTCTTTATTACTCGATCACCCTTACCTGATACCGCTGTAACTCGTACGTCGTTTGATTAAGCTACGTGGGGTCCTGATGGATGAAAACACAAGCACACACACAGACGCACGCACAACTGATAGGTTGGCCGCTTTATTTCGTGTGAAAGCCACTTTTGGCCCGATTCGGATCGGAGTGTACAACCACCGATCAGGTATAGCCGCAGCGATATTCGCGCCCTTTTACCTAAACACTTGGAGAGACACGCACACACACTGTTCAGGATTCTTAGCAGTAACAGCAGCAGGAGTCCCGACGCCGCCCAAACATTAGCGGCTACAGGGAGCAGACGTATCTTATGTCTTGCCTATGAGTCGAGTACACACACCTGCAACGGGAGGGTCCCCCTGGGGGAGGGGGAGCGTGCAGAAGGTTATCTTGACGGCGTCCTTCTCGAGGGTACTCCAGGAGCCGCTGCTGCTGTTGCTCGGCCAATGGCCCGCGGTCCATGGAACAGGAGGCACGCAGGAGGATGAGAGAGAGAGCGCGACGAGGACGAGGAGGAGGAAGAGGAGGAGGGGAACTTGGCGCGCGCGGCCCGCCAAGCGGCACCAAGCCACTATTTATAGTGCGGACACGAAGAAAACAGACACAAAGGCGTCCATTTTGCTCTGATGCGCTGCTGCTGCTGCTGCTGCTACCTCTCTCTCTTTCTTTCTTTCTCTTTGATGGGCTTTGCTCTCTCTGCTCTGTTGCTACTGCAGCTGGTCGCGTTGAGCTGGACTCGTTGCTCGTTCTTTCTCTTTCCCACTTGTGGGCTTACCCCGGGACTCTCTCCGAGACTCCGATCCGATGGTAATGCGGGAAGATTATCTGACTCTCTCTCTCTTTCCCTATCTCGCGCTCTCTCGCACTCATATACCGTTTGCCTACGCACCATCGGTTAGGACGAGCTTACAACACTGGCCACTGGTTCGATGGTGGTGCTAGCGTACTGATTATTTTATTTTTGTTTTGCTAAACGGCTACACTTTTATGACTTTTGAGTAACTTTTCAATTTTATTCCGTTCAGAAAAAAAGTGTTTATATTGTAAACGTATGAAGTTTTTTAGTTATTTTGTGGTAGTTAAAAAAAATTTAATCATTTGCTTCAAAAAAAAAAAAAAAAAAAAAAAAAAAACAAAAAANCTCGACCCGACATTCTTTTGTTTTCCGTATATATACACGGTTCAAAGAGAGAGGGGTAAAGAAAAAAAAAAAAAAAAAAAAAAAAAATTGCCTGAAATTAATATTCAGGGCTAACACTATTTTCATTAAATTCATCTCCGATATAATGGGTGTGTTTCGGTGTTCTTCGCAGTTGAAAAGAATTTGACAATTTAAAAAAAGTTCATGAATTTCATTGAAGCACAACGAAATTTAAGGGCATATACATTCATGTGTCGTTATTTTATTGCACGTGTGAGTGTGCGAGATAAAAGAGATCCTTTTAAAAGACTTAAAGGGCGAAGAAGGATTGCGGAGAGAGGGGGAGTTTTTCTTCCTTTTCACAGTCACATAAGTAAGTATCAAATTGATCGACTTAAAAATGTATGTACCTACAATTTATCATCGAGCTTGTGCTACTTTCCGCAAGAGGTCTCTACCTGTCCTGCAGCCGCTGTGTCGCTGTCTGAGTCTGTGACCATTAAATTTACCTTTTTTGATTTTTGCAGCATTGCAACAAGTATATTTATAAAAAAAAAAAACTATTGGATTATTGCAAGAAGAAAATGTTTATTATCATTACCATACGGGATACGTTAAAAAAAAAAAAATACTAATTCGTACAAGAAAATAACAAAATTAAATTATCCGCTACGAATATGATACATTTTTACATTTTAAAAACGGCAGAGGCCCCCAACATATATTATTCACTCGATGACAATCCTAAGCCTCTCCTTGCGAATTCGCTCCTTGTGCGCTTGCGGAACGTAAGGGTTCGTCTCCGGATCCGAATTCAAGCTAAAAAGCATTATTATTGTATATACGTCAAACCCATCATATTTGATAAAAACAACAAATGAAGAAAAAAAAAAGGAAAAAAATAGAAAGTAGTCTCACTTGTAAAGTACAGGGGCACTGGCGCAATCGACGTTGTACCACCAATCGCAGTTGAACTCCTTCTGATTGAATATCGTGCCATTAGCGCACAAAAAGGACGCGCCCTGTTCACCTTCTCTACCATCGTGACACACGTGATACGCCTACACACACACGCAATACAGACGAAAAATCATCCAGAGAATAACCCACCGTATTTTATTTTCAACGAATAGCTTTATATATATATATACATATATATACCTGACAGCCGGTCTCCACGTTCGCATAAATCCCCGGCACGGCCGGCACGTTGTGACAGCTGAAGCTCGTCTTGGGCACTTCGGAAAAAAGGGGATAATCGACCCAAGGGGTGCCGGGCAGCTTGTTGAGATCTTGCTTCTGTTTCTCATCTTTCTTCTTGGTGGTGAAATCGGCCACCGTCTGCAAAAGGCTCAACTCGGCCGGATGCACCTCGATCGCGTCCACCTCCTGCAACAGATCACATATACTATAATACTTTTGAACAATGAGCGTGGGAATGGGGTGTATAGAAACATGGCACCCAAAAAAGGGGGGGGGGCTACCCCCTTCGCCTCGATTGCCGATGTATGATATATACATATTTTATTGTTTCTTGTCTCTCCGTACCGATCTCCCCCGGCTTCGAGACTCGACCGAGGATTTATACTCTTTGATGATGGATCACCAACGAGCACGATCATTCATATACATTTCGTCGACAAAGTATACTTACCGTTTCCCATGCGAGTTTCGCAATTTCACACGATAAAGTCTTTTTTTGCCCTGTAGTTTTGTTTTTTCACTCGTGGGTCAATAGTAATATGATTAAAATATAAGGAAATAACAATAGTACACGAACAATGCGTACCTTATGCTTACGGGTCGATTCATTGTTATTTAACACATGCAGTTGTTAGTTTACACATCTCACATAAATAACGAATAAATTATAAGGCAGCAGCAGCAGGATGATTTAACTTTTGCGTTAAAAATCGTGTTGCGTTTGGGTGACGGATGTTTGTTAAAAAAAAGCTTGCGTGGTTACTTTATATTATCCTAAAAATCAGAGAATTTATTTTAAAAGCCAATGACAATCGATACGGTTCAAAGTGCAAAAATGAAGGAATAGGATGCGTGTGTATAGGTAACCGTACAAAATAACTTTGTATAGGCTGGAAATTTCGGGTAAAGGTGGAAAATAGAGATATATCATAGGCGAAGCGTGTTATACATATATTATAGTAAAATCCGTGTATGCTAGACTGCAAGATAAAGTATTAATTTTCCGAGTTGGGCCAACAGCTGCTCTCTATGTCGTACTCGTTCGACACACCATTGAAAGCGAGCAAAATATCAAATAGCATGTGTTACATATGCTACGTCTTACGTATCGAAGATCGGTTGCGACTAGTAGTCCAACAAAGATCGGTAGCAAAAGCACAGTCGAAAACCCGTGGAAATTCGTCATCGTCGCGCAGCAGCACCCAATGTAACGTGTAACAATACTATTACGCTTGCAATCTGAAAATCACTGTCTTTCGCGTATAACGCGTAACGAAAAACTGGAGCGCGTTACAAGGTGGTATATCGGTTTCGCTTCCCCCTTAAAAACAGTTGCCGCTTACAGTGCACCGCCGCGGTTTCCACCACTGCAGCCTATCGGTATACAATACACATGTACACATACTCTCGCGGCCAATTATGTCACTGTGGAGGTATAAGTTCGTTCGTTACTTACCCGCTGGTGGCCCGGTCGGCCAAACACTACCGCGTGAGCTAGCGGAGAAAGTATATTTATATATAAGCACCCCTTATATATTATATATATATATGCTGTACTATTTCGCGAAAGCAAGAAGGCCTCTCGATTTCTGACATTCTTACGGTGTACTTACTTGTGCACAGTCGCAACGAGAGCGTATGTTTACCACGTCAAAAGCTGTCGCTCTCCTCGATCGGTACGCCTACTCACTCGCAGTATATTTTTTTTACTTTTCAGATGTGACGTGTATACATGTGTATATTGTATCCGCTAAACGCAATTGCATACTGTCACTCTCGTAACAGATGGGCTTTTGTTTCGACCGTCTAATTTATGGTTTTGCCAAATTTCCTTTTTTTTTTTTTTTTTCTACCGATAAGTAACTGTGGCCGGGGGGTTTTTTCTTTTGGGTGCTTTTTTTTTTTTTTTTTTTTTTTTTTTTTTGTTTTTTTGTTTTCGCTTCCTGCATTCGGAATCTGTCTTTTTCGTCTCGTTCGAGTTCGTTAGGAGGGACGTATTTGAGCGAGAAGGGGAGAAAAAAAAAAGAAGTTTTTCCACTTGATTATCAAAGCAATCGTCTGTATATAGGTAAGCGAGTCGGGAGTCGCGCGCGTTTTAGGCCTAAATCGAGAAATCGGCACGAAAAATGGCCATCAATTTTTTTTTTTTTTCAACCACAAGCAGCCCATCGGTCTCTATTCCTCTCGGGGGATTGAAAAACACACCTGGAATTCCCTCTTTCTCTCCCTCGTTGCAGATCGGTATTCCCGTATGACGAATTGACTACGTACCCGAGCACTTTCAACTTTCCTCTACACATCTTACATTTGACGCGCACGCGCTAACGAGAGACACCGGTACACTTATTGCATGTATACTTACAGGCACTACAAAACGAAATGTCGACGATTAGGTACGATTTTTACGCGTCGCCGCGGCCTTTTGAAGTTTATTTTCGCTTATTATCGCACACGGCATTAAAAAAAAAAACAGAAAAAAGAAAATCGGTGCGATTCCGTCGATTTCTGTCGTCCCCTAATAGCTTCCCCCGAGACAGATACACGCGTACAAATGAGACGGTGACGAAACGAAATCGGTAACAACAGGTTTTTGCCAGACGGACACCATAAGGTAATACGTATGATATAAAATACACACAAAGTCGGGTATCTATATATATATATCTATATATATATATGCATTAGACGGACAAAGAACGGATTGGGGGGACGTATACCTAATAGTTGACCCACAGCCGTACCATGAATTAACCGAGAGAGGCGCGGCTCTCGAGGCTACAATATTATCATAGACGATTACGGTTCACTCCCGATTCGCAAGATAAATCGTGTACAGTACCTGTATACATATAAATATATGTACTCTACTCGTTCTTCTAGAAACTCGCGCTGGTTCGTGATTTTCGGCATGACAATGAGTTCAATGCTAAAGTTGTTTTCTTACTTTCGTATTCCTTCGCTTTTTGCTGGCGTTGATTTTCAATGACTCGGCTAGAAAGCAGACTCTGGTGAGAGAGGTAAGGGGAGGTAACCGTACATATATATATATAATAGACACAGCCAATCGATCATAACACGTGTACAAGCGGTCGATTGATTCCATCGGGGCTCTCCACTGAGATTTTCTTTGTTCTGCCACATGGTTTGAAAAAACAAGTACCCATGTGTAATTACCCTATAGTTCGTACATTCGTAGCACGTGTATCGAGAAATTTCATAGCCAAGGAAAAATTAAAAGCGCACGTTCGGGAAAAAAAAAACCTTCCCATCAGCCGCAACGTGCTGTTGTAGAAAGCCCGCGTTGTGAGCGGTAAGCGTGTATAATCATAAAAGAGAGGAACGAAAAATAAAAATAACAATAATTATTCCGGAAAAGTGGTAAGTTATACTATCAAGCCCGGTCTCGGGGGTTCATCGCGCACTTGTATAGCAAGTAACAAAATCGTTGATACAAGACAATCATTGTAATGTACATCGTATATATTATATACGCACACACGTGTTGTGGTTGTGAAAATTTTCGCCAATTACAAAGCGCAAATTGATATCGATCGGTCGAACCGAGTGTCGAAATCAGATGCGCCCCTGCAGTGTGGAAAAAATTACGAGAAACTTGGAGGAAACGCGAAAACGAGGTGTTTTTTCCGCTCCGCGTTAAGTATACGTTTTACCCTCAGTTACACACTTATCGCGCGCTCCAGTGAGTGCACTATCGCACACGTTATTTATTTTATTTTTTCACGCCTCCGGAGGAACACACCGCGTCGATGTAACTCTTATCGGCTGCAGGAAAAGTTGGCTCAAACATAGGTAACAACAACGAAACATCAAACTGTTACGACATAACAAATATCCACTCGCAGTATGGAAAAAAAAAAAATAAATAAATAAAAGGACAACGAGGTAAAGGAAACTTATATTTTTTCGGAAAAACGATCCAACCGCCAGTATACATATATTAACGTGCATACGGATAATTTGAGGTTTTTTTCTCAACGCACTGATACAACTCGAAGCAAGTATCGGTCGTAGACCACGAGCTTTTATCGAAGGTATATATTATAATGAGATACACGAACAGTGCCCGCGCGTAACGCCACATAATGATATAGCTACGAGGGTAAACGCGCATTTTCATTAATACGCCGATTTTATCATTAGATATGAGGCAACATGTCGATCGGTAATGATTAACCCCTATTTGTATATGTATAGGTACACGGGATTCCAGGTGAACAATGTGCGGGACAATGACACAATGGCCATTGGGAGCGCATCGCGTACACAATACACGAAACGAACAAAGGCACGATGCGCTGGTTCGATCGATCAATAGTACCAGCGCGGAAAAAAAAAGGCTTTTCCACGAGTGGCCGAGCAATTGCGACGCACCATGCGAATCGTCGTTCTCTCGCGTAGGGGCTACCGGATAGTTCCCACAGACCAGATAGGTATTAACGACCCTATATATGTATCGGCGGTTGCGTCGACACACAGACAATACACGTATAGGGCGGGGCGTGTCGATGCACACAGCCTTTCCCAATCGATCGAGCCTCCGCAAGGTCGTATATACTACACGGGTACAATTGTATTTTTGTGCTCCCTAATTATACTGATCGTTTTTAACGATTCTCTCACCTATCGTGCAACCCTGTGGGCTAATCGCGGTCGCGTGCGCGGACGGTATATGGGGTGGCACGAGGACCCCATGGGAAAAACAATCGAGGAACAATCGACGTGCTTGAAATTAACTTTGGTTGACTTGGCTTTCGCCTAAGCAAACCCTACCTTATACTTTTACTCAGCCTCCGTTCGACCATAGTATATATTTATATAGTCTTTCCCTCGCACTCTGTGATTAAATTCATATGCATGGGTATACACTCGGGGCAACAAATGGCACGCCGTACGTGGGGGGGGGGGGTACTCGCAAATTGACACGTTATTATTTAATAACTAACGCGTCAAATTAACGTGTCGTTGCTGGAATTAAATTGTTACAACCGATCATTACGTTGTATATGTACGGTTCGGAGGCAAATTGTCCTCTCTGTTGTTGCGCGGACCATTTTCTCTTACAACTTTTTTAGCCAGGGAACAATCCCATGGTTGCAATACAGTTAACTTGTAACTACCCTCTGTGTACAAGGTACACATACACTTGTACTTATATACACGAACACACTGTTCGCACGATATAAAACGGATATTGCCGCAAGTCTCCGTTGCTTTTCCGGCTTGTGTGTGTATACCTATAATATACACACCTTCTGTAACGCCAACTCCGTTGCGCGTCAAAGTTAAAAATCGCATCGCGTGTCTTTTAGTGCACGTGGAATATTTATACGCGAACCCGGGTAAGTACTGAAAAGACGTTGGAAAAGCCAATAGTTAAACGGCCGCGTCTAAGGCGTGCAGAGCCGGTATACAATATACACTAGGTACATATCAGCACCACAATTCATCGTGTATATGTACGTATGTATATACATATAGAGAAAGATACTTTCGATAAATTTAAACGCTGTATTATGGGCCGTTGTACTGCACGCACCGTTCGAAACTAGCTCCGCTTTGAAACATTTTTTTTTTCAGTTATAAAACGCGTACAATTACACACCTATGTTATATTCTTGCGTGCGCCCATACTTCTATTCTTTGAGGTGGTACGAGTACCGGCACTTTGTGTTCCTGTACACTTATATACTAGGCTCGTCGATGAAGGTCTCCCGTACAAAGTTTGACAGCATCTGTATTGCTGGTCGTTTCTTTCTATACGAGAGTGTTACTTACGTTGTACACCTATATGTATACATATAAATATAACATCATGCAAGGGAACCACAGAAAATTCGAGCGCTACGAAACGGCTCTCCAAAGAAGTGAGGCACTCGCGAAAACTTATGGTACACGTACGAGTTGGTTGGCCCTTTTCGAAAACAGCCCAACTTTAAAGTTGTTTACACCCATACCCAACAACAGCAACAACGGTATGTAGGTGTGGGCATACTTTGTTTTTTTTTTTTTTTTCATCCACGCCAACGAAAAATATAATCACACGGTGGCGTGGATCATTACCCGATCGTTGAATTTGCTCGGTGGTGCGAGAGTATTATCGCACAGGTACGGATAATTGCCGCGCGATCAAACGAAAAGGCACAAAAGAGCGTATGTAATATGTATATATTATATATATTATATACACTGTAATGGGCAATATGAGTTGTTATTCGCGTGGTTTTACCCGTAAGTAAAAGTAACAATGACCCACTTCGTAAGAGCGTGTTATTCAAAAAACACCTCTCCGAGTAATCGAAAGGACGGAGATGAGGGTGCATGTAAATTCTTGGTCTTGGTAAACATAGCTGAGGGCCATTTTTTGTTTTGTCAAAAATACCAGTTGGCCCCGGGTAAAAGTTATCGTTGAAAATCAATTGAGCAAAGTACCTATTATAGGTGTACAGCAATGGAGGAGCCGATAATTTGGAGCTCCGAGCGTCCTCCCACCCGGCTGTATTGTATACGAGACACGGAACTTTCGAAAGGTCGATCGGCCCAGCCAGATTGGGTGTATACGTGCTCTTGCACGCGATGTGTCAGGAGTTGGTGGTGGTGGTGGTGGTGCCCGTGGGAGTGTCCCGGCATTCGCTCGGCGCGGACCTTCCCTCTTTAACACACAACCACCTTCTCTCGGCTCATTCACTCGCACACAAGGTGTTTTTGTCGTGCGCCCAAATGGGCTTCTCTTACACAATGCTGTACGCGCGGGCTCTGATTTCATTACATATACACGCACCCCTCCCCCTCCGGAGCTCTTTTGCCTCTTTGGACCTGTACCCGAATACAGGACAGGCACAACTCGGTGCGAGCCAACAAAACAGTAGGCAGTGCATGCATAATACACGTATACCCGGAGAGCCATCGAGCAGAGCTCTTGGAAAAATCGGATCGGCGCGTACCGATACATGGTCGCAGTCAGTCAGTCGGTCGGCGGTACTTGGCGAGCGCGGCCGAGCATCGGACGCGCGCGAGTTTCGAAGGAGTGAATAAACGAAAAAAAAGGCAAAGGGAACGAAGAAGGAAAAAAAAAAAAAAACAATAAATAAAACACCCGATCTTTCTTGTGCCATACCGGTTTCTTTATCTTTACTTCGCGCCGCCTTTCCCTTTGGCTTTCTTTTGCGCGAGCTCTCGCGCGTCCTTAACCATGAGGTGAGTCCACGAGTGTTTTTCTTATTTTTCGCCGAGTGCCATTTTGGAAAGTGACCGAGCGTCCACTGTTTCTTTCGTTGTTTGTTGAATGCCTCGAAAGGTGCCATACAATGTATATACACCATAGCGTATGGAATAGAGTGGGCCGAGTGACAAATGTGCTCGTGGTGCTTGCGACGCGTACGAAAAACATACAAGCAGGTTCTTTTTACTCCGTACCAGCAGTTGCAAAAAAAAAAAAAAAAAACGGTTTTCGGACCGAAATTTCTTCCGAGTCCGTTTGATGAAATCTGATGGGCGAAAACGCCGGCCTGTATACGGTACTCGAGCGTTATCTGCCAAGGGATCGTACATTTAGCGTCTCCGCGGGCGCGTGTATATAGTGTATGTCTTGATCGTGTAATCGGCCGAGATGAAAAACCGGAGCGCAATGGCCGCCGAAGGTACAACTTAACTTACTCGCGAGAGAAAGAAAATCGGATGAGCTTTAGGCGCGACAAAAGAGTTTAAGTCGTCGGCGACTCGATTGTCACGAAATAAGCCCATTCATACGTCAAAAGTGAGATGTGACGATTTTCCCTTGCGCACAATAGGTACACACGTTTACGGGAAATCAAAGGCCTAGAAACCCCTGATGATTTTTTTTTCTCCACAACAATCGAACCCGTCCACTTGTACATATACCGAGAAACGCGTCAGGTCGGAAAGACACTCGGCTCGCGTTACGTGCCAGTAAAGAAAAAAAAAAAAAAAAATCCTTAAAGTCTTACACGCCGCGCGCGGTTTGCGGTTCAACGCGAGAGCGTCCGGCAGGTGGTATCTAACGCGCGATGTTTAACAACACCCAACGTGCGGGCTCACAATGGCCACATGTATAGTGTTTTGTGCGTGCAACATCGGCTTGTCGATAACATAAGTTGCGTCTTGGAGGACATGGACAATCCACTGTGCGTGTAATAGAGTCGCCGATCGCCGAGTAGGCACGTTGGTATATACGCATACACCTGCAGCTAGAGGGGAAAAAAATGGCTCTTCCGTGAATAAAACGACACGTCGGTGTCTTTCGTCGCGGTTACGCGAACCGCATTACAAGAGAGCGACTTTCATCGGACAGTGCTCTTTTTTTTCTTCCTTTTTTTCCTCAAGCCGATTTATGTACGTGAACCTGGCAGTGTTGCCAGTACTGTATAACGTATATAGTTTACGCTGTGGAGCGTAATTTGTTTGCGTTTGCCAAAAGAAACATTATATATTAGTCACGATTGTAACAAGTTCTGTCACCAATGTATATTTTCGAAAAATAATGTCCCAAAATGTGATTATAATTTGCAAGTGTGGGTATAGGATGGCTTATATACCGGCTAATTTAACGGGTGCATGCTACGAACGAAAAATTTGTCGTGGATGGTCGATCGATTGCTAAAGAATATTTTTAGAACTCTTAGAATTTTCCCGGGCAATAATCATGTGCTCTCAGAGAAAATCACTAGAGGATCTTTTAACTGTAAATCGAATGACTTGTATTACAATTGACCCTAAAGCGACAAATTTCACAATCTCGGAAGCACCAAATACGTAAAAATTCGCGTGAATACTGTCGAAAAAGCATTCAACATGGATATTATGGTATACGACACTTTTATTGTCAAATTACAATATCTTGCAAGTATTATCAAGCCCATGATATCTGGCATGAAAAATCACCGCCACCGTTCTCTCCCGTGTACATATATACAACCTACCGCACGCAAACATTCGTCATACCGAGCTCATGGGCTTAGAAAGTGACCATATTTGCGTTCGCGCCGCTCGTAAGGGATCACCGAGCCCGCTCGTATAATACACAGATACACATTATCATTGTCTCCGGCGTGTATGTTCGCCTGGGCGGCCTCTGTTACACGTAGCAATACACATTAAGCATATAGAAAGGAAAAGCATTATATACACACAGACGCTGGTCGACAGTCAAGGCATACATACACACAGTTGCATTTTTTTTTTTTTTTTTCCCATTTTGTCCCCGCTCTGAACTTTTCACGAGGGAATAATGCAGTCGGCACGCGCGTTTCTCGGTCTCACATGTATATATGCACACGTAGAAGCCAAAAGACAAGGAGACCGCTCTAATATATCTCCCGACACACGCGAATAAGTACACACGAGATACAACTAAATGAGGTACTATTCATTTGGTTGGCGTTCTCGCCAAGATAACGCCGGCCGATTTCATTCAACGAGTATAGCCCCACGGAGTCATATGCAATGTGTACCAAGGCGTAAGCAGGGAGCGCCATCGACCCGCATAATAAATAACTCCCTCGCGGGAGAGGGGGGGGGTGCCATTTTTCCCTAATTAATAGCCCCACGCGCGATAAATCGAATCAATCTGGCGTACCCGATCGCTCGCACCCGTTCGGATGAGATTACGCGCGATTAAACGCAACGGTTTTCGCGCAGTTGCAGAAAAATCGTGGGCGTCCTGCTGGTGGGCCAGCTACTGTTGGCCGGTCGGGCGGAGATCCTCGAGACGGTGGCCCAGTGGCCGCTGCTCGATTTCGCGTTTCCCTACGACACCGGCTTCGTCGAGCAGTTCCAGCCGGAGAACACTGTGCCGACCGGTCTGGAGATCGGTTGGAACCGGATCTTCATCGCCGTGCCGAGACTAAGGGCCGGAGTGCCATCCACCCTGAACTTTGTGCCCAGGCAGATACCACCCGGTAGCAGTCCGCGTTTACAGGCGTACCCCTCCTGGGAGTGGCACAGCGCCGGCAAGGGCGACTTTAACTGCTCGAAGCTGATCTCCGTGTACCGGGTCCGGGCAGACAAGTGCAACCGGCTATGGGTCCTGGACAGCGGCATCAACACCTCCATCGACGACTTCACCGTCGCCTGTCCGCCCAAGATTCTCATCTTTGACCTGCAGACCGACCGGCTCGTCCGCATCGTTTCCTTCCCACGAGAGGTATACATATTACGCGCTATACGGCTAAGACATGCCGATTTCTCGTTTATTTCCAACTGTTGCGCCCACAGGCCGTGAGAACCAATTCGTTGTTTACGAATCTCGTGCTCGACGACACCACGGCCACGACGTGCGACGACGTGTACGTTTACGTGACCGACACCACAGGGCCTGGTAATAAAAATCAATAACTCTCTTTGAACCAAATTATTACTCGCAGTGCAACGAAATATCAATGATATGTCCCATTTGCCCGCAGGTCTCGTCGTCGTCGAGGGAGCGACCGGTCGTAGCTGGCGGTTCCTGCACGCCTCGATGCTGCCCCACCCCGATCAGGCCACCTACAGGGTTAGCGAGCGCATTTTTTCGCGTGACCTGAATATATGTATGAGTAATTGACTTGAGGTAAAAAAAAAAAAAAAAAATGCCAATATGTACAGATCGGTCGGGACACGTTCGAGCTGTTCGACGGTATAGTGGGCCTGGCGTTCTCGCCCCGGCTGGCCACCGTCTACTACCAGCCCCTGGCGACGGATCGGCTGTTCAGCGTGGCCACTTCGGCGCTGAGAGCCGGGCCGCCGGGTTTCGAGGACCAACTGCCGGTCACGCTCATCGGGCGCAAGTCCAGCCAGGGCCTCGGGCTGGCGGTCGACCCGCGCGACGACAGCATCTTGTTCTCGCCCCTCACCGAGACGGCTGTCGCCTCCTGGCAGCCCCAGACCAACTCGCAGAGGTATAGGCACCGTTTTTTTTTTTCCCCCCTATATAACTCAAGGAAAAAATGGGTGATTGATGGTTTTTTTTTTTTTTTTCTTTGGATCAGGATTTTGGCGTACAGTCCGGAGAAACTGCAGTTCGCCGCGGAAGTTAGGTGGGTGGAGCGCGACAGCGGCAACGTGTGGGCGCTCACCTCGAGGTTCCACAAGTTCTTCAAGAAACAGGTCAACCCGCGCGACACCAACATCCGCGTCATGAGGATCCGGCCCGAGGACATTGTCAATCAGCCGCCCTACCTCCTTCGGCACTTTGCCGTTCCTCAGTCCAACTACTACAATCTCACCTACGGCGTCTTTTAACCAGTCCAACGGAGAGAAATGTATAACCCTTTTTTTTTCTTCTTCTTTTTTTTTTTTTCTCCTCTTTTGACTGTGAATGTATCGGGGAGTTTATTTATTTTTGGAGCTTCAAAAATTTATCTCGCCGTGCCTTGGCAATATTACGCGTTAGTGTGTGCGATCCAACGGATAATCAAAATATTTCAAGTGTCATAAAGCAGTTAATTTGTAGATCATTACTATGTATAGGTATCGCTCTTGGACCGAATCGATATAAGAATTTGAAGGAAAAAAAAAAGGAAAATTAAAATAACCACGCAAATGAGTATAGACTTGTCTGACTTGAATAATATTATACGTAGTTCAATACACGATCGCAGATGTATGAATTGCGACCTGAATTTTTTTTTTTTTTTTTTTTCTATCGCTGCAAGTTGTAGTAAGAAATATATCATTACGCGTGATACACATGGAGCGATGCTAATCAAGCAGTGTAAAAACATGATAAATGTAAATTTACCCACCAATAAATTGAAAGTAATTGATTATTTCTAATATTATTGTTAACTTGTGTATATTTTTGTCTTTGATTGATCGAAATCAATCTTCAATGTCAAGGAAACGAAAGTCACATTAACAATGTTGAAGAGAAAATAGTAAAATTACAAATGTCAAAATAGACGTGTACGAAAACTTGAGAGACGGAAAGCTGCTTGCTGTTTTCGCATTGTCTTGAAGAAAGCGGAAATACATTACTCGGAGGTTTAACTGTAGACAAGCGAGGAGACTGACGTATATGTAGATTGGCATCATTTCGCATTACTTTATTTTCCTTTCAATTTACGTGCGAAAGTTTCGTAGCGAAGAGCTTCAAGTTGTGAAATATTAATTGATTTATCATTACCGTACTTGGTACAAAACGAGAAATCACGCAGTAGTAGATATTATTTTAGAATGATTTATCTGCATAACACCATAAATCATCTTTCAAATTAGATTCATTTTTCAGACAAGTAATTAGATGATGAAAAAACGTATGGCTTTGCTTTTTTATACATAAAAATAGTGCATTTTCATCAACAAAGTTGTTAAAAATAATTTAAAAAATTATAAGTAATCCTAAACTTTTTAATCTTGTAGTATTTTTTAGCTGTACTGATAAACGTTGTTCGAGCATTTTATTGATATATTGCGATGAATAAAAATTTTAATAAATGAAACATCAATCCTCCGTCATAGTCAATTAAAAAGCCGTAAATTAGGAAGTATGAAGTTCGATTGTGAACAATAGGGATGATGGGTACATGGAAAAATTAAATAGCTGTTTTTCACAAAAGGACAAAAATTAATTTCGGCCTGAATTTTTTTAATCAATTTAAGTTCTAGTTCTAACGATGATATGACTTCGTTGTAACTTTGCCAAGAGAGGAAAATGTAAATTCTATTCAAATACAATATTTCAGTACTGAGCACATAGTTTTTTTGAGACAGTAACATCAACGCTCAATACTGAAAAAATAAGTAAATAAATATGTTGTCAACTGTAAAAATGAGAATACAAAATTCTCTAAAAAGTGGCTACTAAAAAAGTTGTAGATCTCAAATTCAATAATATACAAGCACCATTTTTGTTTTGTACGTTTTACGTTAATTTCGTAAAACTATCATTAATTTAAAAAATTGAGGAATTGCAGGATCCAAATTTTTTTTTAAGTAAAAGAAAAAAAATCTTTTTAAGTAAGAACTTAGGTCAGAAACCTAAAATTTATTTCATTGTTATTTTAATAAATACTGGTTTTACATTTTGTTATTTATTCGTCAGATGATCGCCATTAAATACAGTTGGTAGAGCAAAAAATCATTATTAAGAAAATAAATGAATCATTTTAACCCTGTACCTGCATATGGTACGAGCATATACTTTTAATGTACATGAATAAATTTATAAGTTTTATTTTGCACATAATTGCGTAGAAGGTTTTACATTTTTTTTTTTATTTTCAACATTATTACAATAATTGAGTGTTGTCGTCTCTGCAGAGTCCTTCTACCGCAAACACTCATTATTCGAATTTCATTGTTTCTATTACATTACACATTGTTCATGGAAGAGATTACTATATAATTGTATGGTTTAAAATGAGTAAACTAAGCTGTTAGAGTGGAATTAAATCCGATGACAATAGTTAAAACAGTAGTGACAATAACACAACTTGCGTTCGTCTATGGTAGCTTCGGAAAGCGATGTGCAAATGGGAAATTGTGAACAGCGTCAATGTCACACACAGTACCACGTACTAGCTCCTGGGTGAACCCTGCATTGATACGGAAGTTCGTCTCGTTGATGTTCATACTACCAGTCAAGTATCGATGGAATGAAGAGGTCAGAACCCACAGCACTTGACGGCCATCAGGTGCCGTTAATACCTATCGTTTGAAGATTCATTGGTCTCTTAGTTTTATCACATCGTTTCAAAGTAAGTACCTTACAAGTATGAGCTATACAATACGTGAAAAGATGAGTATTACAAGGGACTTTACGGCGAGTTTTTACTCTTTTCAATGTTGATTTTTTTTTTCGTTATACAAAACATAATTTTATAAATATAAACAATGAGGAGAAGGAAACCATTACTTGGACCGTGTAGGTCGTGACTAGCAATATTTATTTGATGACCATTTTTCGGCGTACCTTTGCTCAACCTTAAACTTTTTCTTACCAAAACTTCACGTTGAAAATTGAACAATATTTTTAATATTAATAAAAAAAAAAAAAAAAAGCACTGCAATTTTATTCCTACTCAAATCTCACATAGTTCAGTCACTTTGGCTGTAGATAATACTTATCTAATTATATACACACCATATTTTTTCAGTGCACACTTACCCCCGACATATTTAATATACTCGATTTTGTACAAGCACTGACCTTCACACCGGAGGCAAACTCCAGCGTCTCTTCGTTGACAACGACATTATGAATGTTGCGGCCCCCAAACTCGGGAAACTGCTTGCTGTTCCAGCACCCGATGGCCAAGTCACTCATCAGACCAAAATATAGGACGCCGTTGCGGTCCATTGCTTCGGCCACTGACTGCGTGGTCCTTTTCGTAGGGAAGGCTTTAAAGGCATCGGATGCTGCTCGCGAGTTTTTGTGAAACAGTTCGTAGTTCCTAAAGCCATAGACAGACAATAACTACTAGTAACCCACCCTGACACATGAAGTGATTAATCAAATCTTTTAGTTAGTTCCAGAATGTTTACTGCACTAAAGGAGGATCATACAAGTAGTGCTCTTCGTGACACGCTGGAATGTTGACGAGTAAGAGGTGCATAGGACATGATATATCACACTAAGAGAAAAAAGCAATAAAAATTACTGTGCTCGAATGGTAATCTGGTACAGTTCTAGACTTTGTACTATTTGAACAGTGATTTTCACTATCAGTACAATAGTAATAACTGTCCGGAATGGTAAAAACTAGCTTGGCCAAAGTAAAAAGTCCCCAGACGGCAAAATGACACCAGATTACCATTGTAGAACAGTAATTTTTATTATTGTTCACGTATCTGATGTAATACAAAATTTCATGGTACCTAATGATCGACGTTGGCACGTGAGACTCGACGCGACTCGCAAGGGAGTGGAAGTACAGGGTCCTGTCGCCGTCGGGTTGGACGGGACCGAGGGCCATCCCGATAATGCCGTCCATCAGTTCGAAGGTCTTATCATGTATGTAAAATTTGCTGTCGTCGGGGTTCGGATCAAACAGGGGGTTGATTATCTTCCAGGAGCGGACCGCTGCGTGATCGTAGACGATGAGTGCGTGCGCCTGATTATCGGCGATGTACACGAAGGTGTCTTTGCATGACTTGTCTTTTGAATAGTCGTTAGGCTTCATCCTTACGTCTGCGACGACGGTTACGTGCAGCGACAATAAAGGGTCGAACTGATCGTCGGGGATGCGATAGCGGCTCAGCAGTTTGTTGGTCTTTAGCGAGAAGGAGAGCAGCTGGGGCGGGCAGGGCCTACCCTCTCCGAGTATAACACCAGTGTCCATCACCCACAGCCTGTCGCACTCGTCGATCTGTCTTTCGGCAGACGCCACATTAGTCACCTTACTTTCATACCCTCCACATTTAACATTGTTAATAACGATTGGTTCGATTGGTAAGTGTAAGAAATCGACTTTAAAATAGTGAACATCCCAAATAGCGAGACATTACGAGAGACATTATTACTTTCTTGTATAGTGAAATATTTCCTTAAAATAGTAACACATTTCCTCTGTTTTCCCGGTTGGATAGTTATGATTTTTTACTGTTCGAAAAAATTTTTTTTAGAAAAGTAGGTATACATGCAGATTAAGTTTTGTTTTCGGAGTATCGGTTCCGCAAGAACACAAATACACCTATTTTACGTGTTAATACTTGATCAAATTTCTCACCTGAACCCTGAAAACGCCCGTTAAGGAGTCACAGTTGTCGCCAAGGGTGTTCCATCCCCAATCTGTGTGATTATACAAAATCCAATTTTAGAAAAATTAATAAAAAAATGAAGAGATGATTTTTTTCGAGATGTACAACCTGGGTAAGGTGCAATCAGATGCTGGCCGTTCTCGGACAGCTTGTCGGTTACGTAACCCAGTGTCATTGGTACTCCGCGCTCCAGGCGAGGCGTCGTGACGAAAACCTTAGGCTTTGTTCCGCCTTGTGAATAAGAAATAATTTTGTTCAGAGAAAATGTTTACCGCCAGCTTGTTAGCATTAAGCTTCCTAAATTTTATTTACAGTAATTTTATCCTAATAAGTATAAAGAATTTACTAATATCTTTTTAATTTATTTAACGTATCTATGTTTTACTTGTGTTTTATAACTGTGGGATTCACATTATTTCATTACCATGTTTCACCTAAGTCTCATAATTGTATGCCATTTATGATAAATGTGAGCAACGTCTGGTCAAAATTTTTCAAAATTTAAGAAAATACATTTGTTATTTAAATTATTTTTTTTTACCATATTTGCAAGACTATATCGCAAGATTATATACATTTTATGTTTGACTCCCATTTACAAATTCTGTAGACAACTTATCTGATTCCCGACACTGTCGAGGTTTATTTATAAATTCGTTGCAGTGCTACACTAAACAATGTAACTAGACGTTGCTTACATTAATTTTTAGTAGTGCTAATTTATGAATTTATAATACGAATGTTATAGTCGTGCAAGCACGTAATATTGTAATTTTGCACTTTAAAGGAATTGTACACATCATACAATACGTATTAAAAAAACAAAATTTTACTTCTTTAAATCAATACATTTGTAATAATACATGAATATGATTTGCCTGCTCCTGAAATCATTGAATAAAAATAAAAAGTTGACTGAAATCAATTTTACGAACAAAAGGTCAGATTACACACTATTAAACTGAGGGATATTTTTTTTCAAACGACATGTTTCGGCTTGTTTACATCATAAAACATGTTTTTAAAGTGTTATAATGTAATTCAAGTATTTAAATTAACGGATAAGCAAAACAACTGCTAATTAAGATTAATTTCAAGGACTTCATCATGCACATCCGATTTTACATTATGTGTTGCGAGCATAAAAAACGATAGCTGTACACTCGTTACTCGATTAATGTTTTCTTGAAACGCAACGCCCAGGACATACCGTAATAAACGTCGACGTCAATCGGTAAAGCAGCTCCAGGTCGGTACGTGCCATTTTTGATGGCAGCCTCTCGGTCCGCCTCGCTATCAAAAGCAAATTCCAATATCTTCCAGGAGTGCGTTAGTCGCATTCTTTGAGCCGTTGTCGGCGTTGTCGTCTCCAACAAGTCTTGCAAACCTTTGAATTCCTTGTAACACATGGCTAATCTTGTAAGAATCACAAAAGTCAGCAGTAACGGTACTAAATGCTGCATTTTCTTTGCCATTTTCATCTACTTTTGCGATCCTCTGCAATCTCGAGTATATTTTACGTACTATTTTTCGGAATAATAATTTTTAATTGATTATAAAACATCTTTTTGAACGAACGCGTAATAATGTCCCACCATTTAAGTTATTTTATATATTTTTTTTTTCCTTCGTCAAACGTAGGTATATGTATATTTCGCTCCAATTCAATGCAATAATATATATAATATTATTTAAAAACCATAATACATAATATTATTGAATACTATAAATAATTGAATAACTGTATAATACATCAAAAAAGCTCGATTGAATCTCCTGTTATAAATACGTTTATTTTCATAAAAAAGGCTAACATGACAAAATGATTTTTTTTAATTTTATTAAATTACGTGTGGTTCAGCGAAAATGTCATTTAATATTTCTGAGGAAATGATGATGTACTTGAGTACTTGAGTACATCATCATTAGTTGACTAAGAAGGAGCTTATGACATATACAGCAGTTAACAACAACTACGAAAATTGAAGTATTTTTTTTTTTTTTTTTTTTTTTTTGGTACAGAAAATTACAGCAACTGTACAGAGTAAGTTAGCTCTTGTTAATATGCTGACGATTGATGTCTGTTTCGTACAATCATAACGATTGTATAACAGTCCGTAAGGATGATAAGAATCCAAATGTAAAAAATTTATTCACACATTTTTAAATTATTTTTAGAATCAAAATTTAGAATGTCTGAAGTCATATGATTAAAGGTACATTAGTTTTTAAAAAACAGTTAAAAATTTGCGTAAAGAGTTTTAATTTTTGACCCTCACATTATTTGAATAAATCATAAAAGAAAAAAAAAACACAGTCATAAAATCAGCAGTTTCGGTCATAGTAGAACGTAATTTTTTGTGTTATTAATACTACATTATTCTTCCCGGGATGGTAATGGGCACTGCAGCTACACAACATTTAAATGTGATTACAAATGTTATTTAATCACAAGCAAAATTATTATGTGCCTAACTACTTACTCTAACTTTCATAGGGTACGAGTAGGTTATCGGGAGTTCCAAGAGGTTACAACTTATCTACAGCCTCGTAAAAAATTGATAAACCAAAGAGAAACTCGATGGCTCGACGAAATCACTGTAAAGAAAGCAGATTCGGTCATTTTTTCTCTTCAATAGTTATTTGTGGCAGCTGACTACAGTAGAGACAAACTGTTCCAGATTTTAGAATTACCCAAGTTGCAACGATGAAATTTTGCAAAGAATCGACATGGGTATCAAGTAAATTTTTCTCTCGACTCCCTTATCATTTTATGCGTGAAATGTAAATGACCCCTTTCACCACGCCTTACCGATCGACAGCAAAATGATTCACATGACACCTCATGCCAATGAAAAATATTCGCGTGACTGAAGCCTTGAAATGAATAAAAGCCACGAGTAAGTATAAGGAAGGTAGAGAAAAGAAATTTACGAATACAATGGCACAAAAGATTGCACTAAAAAATATATACCGCATTTCATTATTTCAGTACTAAAATACATTACTGCAACCGGTCATTCCTGAAGATTACACGCTTAAGCTTAAATACTAAAATTNAAAGAAAAAAAGGAAAGTTATTGAAACAAAGCAATGTACTTTTCAAACGATTAAGAAGGAAACAATACATTAAACCAACGTAGGAAAAAAAATAAAATGGTAAAAAGGCACGAGGCAAGGTCTTGGCAAACATTTAATAAAAACAGTCAGTTCTCAGTTAACCAAGCAGTTAAGAACAATTAACCAAACAATCGATAAATAAAAAAAAAAGATTTATTTAGTTACAAAAGTGCCCGGTGAGATATGGCCAGAAATGTAAGGAGCACCTGAGAGCACTTTGTGATTGTTTTTATGTAATCTGCACCAGTTATGAAAATATTATTTGACATGAAGTGTGCAATGTATACGAATTGAGCATAGCGTAAAAAGCGGTAACCTAATAATATGCGTAAGAAGGCATTGCATCTGCACTTCCAAAGAAACTTGATTTGAAATTGTTGTTATAAAATTATGCGGAAATTGAATAAAAACAAAATCGGATCTTATTAATAATTATCGGATTTGTATTAACTAAAAAACTTTTTTAATTTAATTTACTATATTTATAAGATTTTTACAGTTCTTAAAGAAATACATTTAAAAATGAATCATTTTGTATACTTATATTGTCATATAATTTTTTAAAGAACATAAAAAAAAAGTAAGTATAAGGAAGGTAGAGAAAAGAAATTTACGAATACAATGGCACAAAAGATTGCACTAAAAAATATATACCGCATTTCATTATTTCAGTACTAAAATACATTACTGCAACCGGTCATTCCTGAAGATTACACGCTTAAGCTTAAATACTAAAATTTTGTCCTACTTTTTATGCAGACTAAAATAAAATAAATAAATTTAAAAAAAAAACATTTTTCATACTGTAAACCGTTAAATTTATAATTTAAATAAGCAAAAGTATTACATACAACCAACACTTGTACACCAGAGAAGAAGTGATTAATTCCGAATGTGCCCCATAAATGGTGCTTGAAATATCAAATGATTAATCAACAATTCAATTCATGGACATTACCAAAATGCCATTAAAAATTGAAAGCGACGATGCTGGAGAAAAAAAATGTTTATTCAAAAACATGTGATCGCACATTTGTATAAATTCAAGATGAATCATCTATTTGTAAACGAACCCGAAATCGACGTTAAAAATTGTATGATTTCATCATCATACAAAAAACTGCTTGAATTTAACAATTGCGTAATTAAAGTGACAAGTATGAATAAAACTGTGTTAAAAATTACCTAAGAAGCTTTGTAAAGTTGATACTGCACGGCCAACGAAACAGATAACGCACACGGCACACACAAGCGTGGCGTTCACCGTGACTCCCAGTAGCCAACTGTGCCGTACTAGCGCGTCTTTTGCACATCAACTCATACAACCGTCATTCTCCCCCTCGTATGGATAAACCACTGTATACACGTACTCTTGTATTTAAAAGCCGCCACTGCTGTGACCTTTTTTTTGCACTTGTACAGCTCATACCGTTTGCGCACATAAGCATATCTCGTTTCTGTATATATTTATATTTACAGATCCATCACAACATTGAACAACAAAAAGGCATCTTGTAAAATTAAATTCGAGCAATTTGATAAGTGTTTACGAGCGGGTCGTACTGCACTATTGTAAAAATGTTTTTTTTAAAACTGTTTTTTGTAAAAATTAAATAGAGGGCAGAAAAACTAAAATTATAATGTTATTTAAATGTAACGTAAATAGTAGTCATTCAATTTAATA